CCACCTGCTTTACGGCTTTTGCTGTTAATCAATTAATGAATAAGCCGGGCTCCCATGCCATGCTGAAAAATGCATTCAGTCACCCATTCAAGGAATGAAGGCTATTCCATGCGCAGGCCGAGGAACAGTGCCAGGCTCTGGGGATATTCCTGGTCAGGAATCATTTATTTGAAAGGAACAGGAGCCTATTCAAAGCAGCTTAAGGTTTTTGCTTAAGGAGGACTCTTGGAATAGTTACAGTGATAATTAATGGAACCCAAGGAGAAACCATGTGTCTGGGTCTCCAAGGCCTGGACCAGGAACCGTGTCTCTCCGCCCCACCTTCCCCAACTCCCACTCTAGTTACCAGGTCTCCCATCTCCGCTTTTCTCTGAGACACTTCCACTTCCTCCTTTGTCTTTTGTCCTTCAGCACACACAGCTCATTCATTTGGTCTGTCTGTGTCACTTCCAAATAACTGGGAACTCCTGGCTGCATAGTGTCTATGGCTACTCCAGGTATCGGCTCCAGGACCGTGCATCTCTAGGAGAACATGGGGGGATGGGGGGAGGGGAAGAGGTGCTTCTGCTGCAGACATTGCTCCCTCTTAGGGGTTCCCAGCACTGGGTGAACATTGCAACCAACTGGGGGGCTTTGAAAAATACCAGTGCCTGAACCGTGTCCTCTCCCTGTTCCCCTTCTCCCACGATCTGCTTTAATGTGTCTGAGGAGGGGGCTCAAGCATCCGTGTTTTCTTAGATTCCCAGGTATCCCTAATGTGCACCCCAGATTGAGACTCTCTGCTGTGGTAGGAAAGACAGTAGAAAGGCATTACAGGACTTCCTTGACAGTCCAGTGGTTAAGACTCTGAGCTTCCATTGCAGGGGGCGCGGGTTCCCTCCCTGGTCGGGGCATGAAGATCCCGCATGCCACATGACGTCCCAAAAGCGGGAAAAAAAAATCACTACAAGCTGATAATGGCTTTGATGGGGAAGGACGGGGGCAGCACATTTGACAGTCTAGAAGGAGCAGGAAAGAGATACACTAAGACCCGATGGTGTGGAGTGCCCGTGCCTTGCAGAAAGCATTCAGCATCGTGGGCTTTCGTGTGTGTCATTGATTACCATGAGGTGGACAGTGTCTGGGTTACAGTGGGGACTGAAAAATATGGGTTGAATTCACGAATGAGATATCATTCAGGTAGAGAGTTAAAGGTGGAGAGAACTTGATTTTTCATGATTGAGGCCACTTGTGTGTAGCTGACCAAGGCGAGAGTTAGTGTCATGCCCATTGGCCAGAGGGAGATGCAGAGGTTGCCCAGAATCCCTGGCTCTGAGCAACAGAGCCAGACCCAGACCCGGCTGCTGGGACTTCCACCTCCTCCACCTTTTGTAGGGTGACCAAGCACCCCGGTTTGCTCGGGACTGCCTTGGTCTTAGCGCTGAAAGTCCTGTACCCGCGGAAACACCTCGGTCCCAGGCAAACTGGGATGGTTGGTCACTGTACCTGTCAGTGGTTTCCCAATGTTCTCTGTCCTGTGGAGGTGCCGCAGCCCGGCCAGCCGACTGGGACAGGCAGGAGGCAAGGGGAAGGCCAAGCAGGCAGGGTTCCAAGCCTACCTCCCCAGCCCGCAGAGGCTCAGGTCTGCTTTAGCTGTGCTAGATAGAAGTTTATTGCCATACAGGCACTTGGGACTTTGGAAACAAAGGCCCATCCTGAGGCAGGAGGGGGCGTAGGTCCAGCCCACACAGGCATGGGGCAGCAGCATTCAGTTAGTGGTCAGGTGATACAGGGCAGAGAGAGGGCATCCTGGGGACCAGGCATGAGCTGAAGTCCAGGATCGCAGCCTGGTGAGGCCCCAGTTCTAAGTCTAGTACCTCGAACCCAGATGAGGCCACAGGTGTGCTTCTAGAAGGTTTCCTCCAGCCAAGATAAGGACCCGAACATGACTCTGGTCTCGGCACAACCCCAGGTGTGATGTCTGAGTCCCTTCCTAGGAGTTTGGTGGTCCCAGGTGTAGTTTCTGGATCAATCCCTCTTAACCTGCTGAGGCCTCAGGGGAAGGTCTAGACCAGCGAGTGGCTCCCCACCTTGACCACACATTAGGATCACCAAGGGGCGCACAGGCCACACCCAGACTAGTGACAGCAGAGCCCAATGTACAGTCAGGGTTGAGACCCGCTGGTGGAGATGCTTAGCAGCCCAGGTGAAGCCCCAGGCTCTGCCCTGAACCTGGTACGGCTCCTGGAGTCGTTTGGGATCGTTCTAGGGGTCTGAGTTTGATGCTTAGAGGGTTTCGGGATCCATCTTGGGACTCCTGGTGGAGCCCCAGGTCAAGGTATCCACCTCTCACTTCAGGTCCAGGGAGGCTCTGTGGAGGCCCCAGGTGGAGCGCTGGGCCCATCCCTGCAGCCCTGGTGAGGCTCCAGGAGTAATTTCACCAAGTCTTGCTTCTTCTTTAATGAAGCCAGGGATGGTCCATTGGTGGTTTCTGCTTCTGTTGGATTTCCAGATATGTTCCAACAACTCTAGTTGGGCCTGTCAGGATTCCACATTTGAAATGTGGGCTCCTGGAGGAGGCCCCTGGGTTTATTTCTGAATTTATCCCACATCCTTGATCACATATAGTGTGTGAGTCCTGCTCAGTGTCCCAGGGAGGCCTCAGATGTGGCTCTGTCTTGACTGGAGAGTTCTAGAGTGCCCCAGGGCTGACTCCAGAACAATGGTTCTGTTCTGCAGAGGGGTCCAGCCAGCACCCACATGAACCCATGTGGTCACATCGTTTTGGCAAACATGGCTAAGCTCTTGTCCCATGGTCATGCTGAGGCCCACGTATTGTTCTCAGTGAGTCCGCCAGACTCCGAGAAGCTTTGAGGGGGTTCTGGTTGGGGCAGAATGCCCAAGGTGTGGTCCTGGTGTCATCACAGCAGCTCTAGCGGCCCCAGTTTGAGCCCGGTGTCCACTCTGCCACTCTGCAGTGGTTCACCTCTGGCCTCGGCACATCCTCGTAACTCTGGGAAAGCCCAGGGGTGGTTCAGCTTTCAAGGGTGACCTGGGGTCTGTCAGAGCTCTGATCCAACACCAGCTGAGGTGATGGGGCTGTCTCAAGAGCTCTGATGATACCCAGGGTCACTGTTCATCCCTAGAAATGATGGCTATTGATAGCATTTCCCCAGAACCCCCAGAAACACCCCATTCACCTGCTAGACCACCAGCCTTGTGAGATCCTCAGGCAGTTGCTGGCAGTGGAGCTCCAAGATCTGAGTGGACAGTAGGTACCCAGGGAAGGTGTGTTATTCCGGCTTCTCTTCTTTCCAGCCATGTGGGCTCAGGCAAGCGGCTTCACTTTTCTGCACCTCAGGTTCCTCTGCAGTAAACAGATAGTAAGACCTGTTCCACCTGGTGAATATGGGAATAAATGAGATCATGGGAAACAAGCATCTGCGTGTTCACCACCTCTCGAGAGATGGGGAAAGTGCATAGGTGGCCACCGCAGCTCGGGCTTTCACCTGCTCCCTCGCAGGGGGAGGACAGCCAGTTACCTGCTTCGTAGGAAAGAAGTGAGAGACCTTGACTCTGCAAAACACACACACACACACACACACACACACACACACACACACACACTTCTGGCTGCCACCAAGAACAACAATTAACAGAAAGACAGTCATGTCAGCGGAAGCTAAAAACAAGTTTACGTGCTCCATCCTGCTGTTCCCTGCTGCCTGGGCCCCGCGGCCTGCGGTGCATCTTCTGAATGGGCAGGCCTCGGGGGCCCTCTCTGCACCTCACTGCCTGCCTCTCTCCTCCTAGTTTCACCAGGACCAGACCCAGGAGGCCTCCGCAGGTGGGGCCCCCAGCACTTTGCCTATGCACCCTTCTCTCTGGCTGAGCCAGCTTTCCTCTCCGCCCCGAGGCTGACACCCCCGACCCCTGTCTGCAGCCCGCAGAGACGTGGCCTACAGGCACACAGGGTCTGCATGTCCACCCCCCACCCCTGACCCCCGACACCTGCCCTTTATCCTGCCCATGCCTCCCCCAGTCTATGGCATCCCCACCCACCTAGTTGCTCCAGCCGGAAACCTGGGCTTTCTACTCTCCTCCACCCCATCCCGCCACTCAGCTCCACCACCCAGGCCCCGCCCCCTGCCCAGCCTCCTCCCTGGCATCCTTAACCCCACCGCACGGCCCCTCCTACCCGCAAGCACGGTGTGCGCTCTCGATTCCATCAACTGAAATAAAACCTGGACCAACCAACGCCTCATCCTCTGGGAAGGCCTTCTGCTTTCCCTGGGCTGAATCAGTGGCTGGCTTTCTCTGGGCCCTTTTTTCTTACCTCCATGACAGTAATGATCGTTGCACTGTGTTCATTATAGCAAACACTTGTACTTACTAGATTTCGGGCATTATTCTAAGAGCTTTACACGTATTCATTCATAGAACGATATTACAGATGTGTGTCTCTCGTTGGCTCCTCTGCTTCCCTGGGAGCTCGGGCAGCAGACCCCACATTTGAGCAGCTCTAAGTCGGTCACTGCACCCAACACGAGCTGGCTTCCGGTGGGCTCTGCTCGGGTCTATCTGTTCATTGCTCTAACTCCAGGACCTAGAAGAGTGTGTTGAAACATTTGTGTGGAGTGAATTAAATGCATGCTGCCCTGAATTGATACCAGGTCCCGAAAGGGGATGTTCTCTTGGTGTGTTTTCTCTGCCTTTCTCCCGGCATACCTGATGGTTTAAAAGTGGCTTTTTTGCAGTTTGTTGGTAAATAGGACTTTGTGGGGTTTGCTTCCTTCTTACAATAGCCTAAGCGTAGGTTCTGTTACATGGTACAAAGCCTGCCTTAATAGAGAGTTTGAAACCGCTAAACAGAATGGCGTTCCGATGATCACGAATAATGAATCCTTGCCTAGCAGATGTGGCAATGAGCACTTTGCAGAACAGCCAGATCGTTAACGGGAGACGCTGCCGGTTCCGTGCCGATCGCCCTGGTAATCGGAGCTGTCTTCTTCTTGGTGCAGCACTATTTCACGGTTAACTTCAGCCACGAGAACCAGAAAGCCTTGGAGCTGAGGACAGAGGACGCCAGGGATTGTGACGAGTGGGTGGCAGCCATCGCTCACGCCAGGTATGTCTCGCCCACCCAAAGGCCCCGTCCTGAGCAGACTCAAACCCCAGGAGGGGAAGGCATGGAGGAGGAGGAGATGGGGGGAGGATGGAAGCTGTAAGAAGGGCATCTTGACAGGCCCGCCCTTAGAGCCCCGGAGCTCTGGGACGTGCCTCCCTGGGGTGCACAGGGAACCAAGGGCCCTGAGGTGCAGCGTTACAGCCTCCTGCCCCCTTCAACCAGATGAGCTCCTTTTTTTCATACTAGGAGAACTGAGTACAATTTGGTTGGATTACAGGGCTTTATAGCCACCAAAGGCTAAGACCACCAGGGTTCTAACCCGGATGCGGCAGGAATGGACTAGTCCTGTCTTTTCTCCGGGCCTTGGTTTTCTCATCTGTAAACTGAAATTCTGTAAACCTCTCTGAGCTCAGATGTTCAGGGATTCTAGACCTGCTCGTCCCTTCATTCCCAACAATGTGTACCCCTTTCTGGAGGGATTCACTGGGCCAGGTGGGGAGAAAAGCAAAAGGAGAGTGTATGCTGCAGAGAAAATGGGGGCTCCAAGCTGCGTTGAGTCTTCCTGGGTCTTGGGGAGATGATGGGCTTGTGGGCTAGGGTGTGGCTCCCAAGCTAACAATCCCCTGGCAAAGCTAAGTACTGTCAGGTGGGATGGACACCCAGACTCACCCCTTTGAGCAGTAGATCTTTCTGGCTGAGTGGATATTGGTGTGTTCCTGTGTCTACTCTCCAGTAAAGTGTAAGCTCCTTGGGGCAGGGACTAAGTAGGATTCTTTGCATCCCCAGGGCCTTATAAAGGTATAGACAAGTTCTCAGCAGTGTAGATGGGAAGAATGCAAAGATGAATGAATGGATAGAGGTTGGATGTTGAGTTTATATGTGGAAGGTGAATGATGGATCAATAGAGGGTAAATGAATGATAAATGGATGAGTGTTGAAAGTATATGTGAAGGACGGATGGATGGATGGATGATAAATCAATGATGGGCAGATGAATGTTGATGGGTAGATGATGGATCCATCAGGTGAAGATGGATATAGATAGATGGATACCAGAGCCCTTCCTTGAGCCTTGGATCAAGCCAGCTGACCAGAAACCATTTATTATGGCTATAGCACTGACCTTGACCCTGAGGTCAAGCCACCTCCATCCCTATCCTCAGGGAGTGTCCAGTCTAGCTAATGGAGACTAGGTTCTCACCTATGAATCAACAGAGTCAGGCTCTGAGTGTGGTACTGGGCAGACAGGGATGGATGCAACACAGGTATTCCCCCAGGGCTACCCCAGCCTAGTCAGGAAGACACTAGACAGATGTACAAACAGCTCCGGTGCATGAAGGCCGTGTTAAGTACAAGGCACCACAGGAGACATCTTCAGGGAAATGGTGGAATCTGGGGGATCTGGAAATAGGGCATGTCATGCTATGGGCACGTCAGCCCCTCCACCAGCCCCCAAAAAGCCTTAAATAAAGGCAGTGATCTAGGAAAGACAATTCCAAGAAAAATGAAGAGACAAAGTTCGGGTGTCAGAAGGTTGGTGAGGTTGGACATTGGACTGGAACCAGATCAGAACGATCTTGAATACCCAGCTGAGATGTTTGAGCTCTCCTCTGTGAACCGTGGGAGGCCATCAAAGGTTTTACACCAGGATGATCAGAGCTGTGATTTGGAGTGGAAATTGCTGGCATTGTGGAGAATGGAATCAAGCAGGAAGAACCCAGATTCAGGGAAAGCAGCTGGACCTCAGGCTCCCAGCACTAAACTAGAACCAATAGCAGGGCTGTTTTGAGAAACAAATGAAATGATTTATGTGGCGGGGCTTTGTAAGTGTTGAGGTATTATAGAATTCTACTTTGGTGTATATTCTGGATAACCAGGACTACCTTGACTTCGAAAATCAATTCACACCAAAATTTTCTAGAGACAATGAGATACCACTACCTGTAGAATCTACAAGGGCTGAATTGAAAAAAAATGACAGTAGCAAAATTGGAGAGGGGGTGGAGTAACCATAAATCACATGATGCTAGTGGGAGCATAAAGTGGTTCAACCACTTTGAAAAATTGTTAGGCATTTCCTTTAAAAGTGAAACATACACCTACTCTGTGACCCAGCAGTTACACTTCTTAGTATTTATCTAAGAGAAACGAAAAACATCTACAAAAAATCGTGTATGCAAATGTCCTTAGCAGCTTTTTGCACAATAGTCCCAAAACTAGAAATAACCAAGGTGTCTATCAACAGACAGATGTAGAAAGGAATCTTAATACATCCATGCGATGGAATGCCGCTCAGTAATAAAAAGGAACCCAATGGGAGGGAGGCTCAAGAGGGAGGGGATATGGGGACATATGTATGCATATGGCTGGTTCACTTTGCTGTACAACAGAAACTAACACAGTATTGTGAAGCAATTATACTCCAATAAAGATCTATTAAATATATATTATATATATATATATATATATACATAAATATGTAACAAAACAGATGAATTTCAAAGTCGATAGGCTGCGTAAAAAGAGCCAGACACAAAGTAGCACATGCTGCCTGATTCCTGTTATATGAAAGTCTAAAACAGGCAGAACTCAACTGTGGTGATAGAAATCCAAACAGTAGTTGCTTGTGGGATGGGGATTGACAGGGAAGGGGCACGAGGGAACTCCCTGGGGTGATGGGAATTTCCTTTATCTCGATTAGGGTGTATGCATTTATCTACACGGATCAAACTGTTTATTTAATGTCTGTGCTTTCCATTATATGGGCATTAATCCTCAAATTTTTAAAATAAATTCTATCTATTAGACTGTTTTAGTTCTCTACTGCTACAGAACAAATTATCACAAACTTAGCAGCTTAAGGGACTCCCCTGGAGGTCCAGGGGTTAAGACTCCATGCTCCCACTGCAGGGGGCGTGGGTTCAGTCCCTGGTCAGGGAACTAAAATCCCACACGCCATTGTGGTGCGGCCGAAAAAAAAACCCCACAAACTTAGCAGCTTAAAACCACACCCATTGCTCAGTTTTGTAGGTCGGAAGTCTGGGCTCGGCTGTGGTCTCTGCACAGAGACCCATGGGCTGAAATCAAAGAGTCAGTCAAGCGGGACTCTTACCTCGAGGTTCTGGAGAAATCTCTGCTTCCAAGCTCACTCCTGTCGTTGGCAAAAGTCAGTTCCTTGTAGGACTGGTGTCCCTGTTTCCCTGCTAGCCGTCAGCTAGGGATGGCTCTCAGCTCCACGAGGTCCTGCCTTCCTTGCCCTGTGGTCCCCGCCATCCTTAAGCCAACAACGGCTCACCAAACCCTTCTCCAGCCCCAAATCTCTGACCTCCCCTTCTGTAACCAGCCAGAGAAAACTCTCCATTTTCAAAGGCTCATGTGATTGGGTCAGGCCCACCTAGAGAATCTCCCTGTGTTAAGGTCAGCTATGCTGCATAGTATAGCCTAGTAAGAGGAATAAAACGCATCATAGTCATCATCCCAGAGATTATGCAGGGCTTCGAAACCAGGGCAGGAAACTTGGGGCTATCTTAGAATTCTGTCTGCCACAGAGAGGGGACAATGATTCTTTAAGCAACTCACTAAACTGGAAATTGGTTCCAAGTAGCCCATAAAATCCTAATCATATGGGGTTTTCTGGGGTTTTTTTTTTTTTTTTTTTTTTGCGGTACGTGGGCCTCTCACTGTTGTGGCCTCTCCCGCTGCGGAGCACAGGCTCCAGACGGGCAGGCTCAGTAGTTGTGGCTCACGGGCCCAGCCGCTCCGCGGCATGTGGGATCTTCCCGGACCGGGGCACGAACCCGTGTCCCCTGCATCGGCAGGCGGACTCTCAACCACTGCGCCACCAGGGAAGCCCGACACCACCTACCTTTGAACAAAAACCTCTCGGAACTCACCATCCTTTAGGAAGCCAGGGGGACGTGCCAGTTGGACATGGTTTGTCTTCCCTGGTCAAGCCCAGGGGTCTGAGTCAACCCACTGGCCTCAGAGGAATGTCCTCCTTTGGGCCTATAGGGCTGGGACGGGGGTCACAGTGATGGTCACCAATAAGGGAAACAGAGTCCCCTTCCCTAGAATAGTTGTCACCAGCCAGTCGGGCTCAGGTGCAGCTTGTCAGGCACCTCCTGGGCCAACAGAAGCCACAGGCTCTTCCCTAGGCAGCCGGCTGTGTGACCAAAGGACAGACGATAGGCTCTGAGCGTTACTTAATCTCAGATCGTGTGCACCATGAGAGTGTGTGCACGTGTGTGTGTCAAGGGAGAGACCGGCTCTCTTCCACGGCAATGTTGAGTAGTAGGTATGCTTGCATGTACCTAATTTAGTTTTTATTTCCATATACATAGTAGATACATGGTATATACAAAAATAAGCACTGTAGTGTATGAATAGGTATAGAGACACAATGTACTCTCCCACCGTATGCATAATAGTCTAGTATTCTGGGATGCCCCTGTGCTATGCGTATGTACAGCAATGTATAAAATGTAACACCGAGTGTGGCTTGTGGCCTGCACCTCAGCGAGAACTAGATGCAAACCAGACAGCCACGTGGGAGTCCTCTTCAGGGACTAGAGCCTGATTCCGACTCCACCTTTGACGCTCCTTGACTGTTATTTGGGGGCAACTCACTTCCCCTCTCTGGGCCTCAGTTTCTTCATTTATAAAATGAGGCAGTTGGCCTTTCGTGATTCCCGAGTATCCTTGCAGCCCTGCGAATCTGTGCATCTATAAAGACAGTGTTGCACAGAGATGTGGATGGACCTAGAGACTGTCATACAGAGTGAAGTAAGTCAGACAGAGAAAAACAAATATCTTATATGAACGCATATATGTGGAACCTAGAAAAATGGTGCAGATGAACCTGTTTGCAAGGCAGAAATAGAGACACAGACGTAGAGAACGAATGTATGGATACCAAGGGGAGAGGGGGGGGTAGGAAGAACCGGGAGATTGGGATTGACACATATACACTATTGATACTACGTATAAAATAGATAACTAATGAGGACCTGCTGTAGAGCACAGGGAACTCTACTCAATTCTCTGTGGCGACCTACATGGGAAGGAACTCTAAAAAAAGTGGGGATATATGTATACGTATAGCTGATTCACTTTGCTGTTGAGCAAGAAACTAACACAACATTGTAAAGCAACTGTACTCAATAAAAATTTAAAAAAGAGACAGTGCTGCACAAAGAGGTGTATTGATGAGAGGGGGGAGGGGAAGGAGAAGAAGGAAGGACAGGGGGAGCCGGAGTGGGGAGGGAGGGAGGCAGGCAGAGAGGGCCGGTGAAGGGAAGAAAGGGAGGTGCAAACAGACCAAATTGTCCTGCAGATGAGACTCTGGCTCCCCATTTTGAAGCACCAGGGCGAGTGCCATCGCTGAAAACAAGCTACTGAAGGCTCTGCATTTTCACACCCCCTGGAGCGAGGAGAGATGAGGTGGTGTGAAAATGGATTCCTTCATGCTCTCGGTTGAAGTTCCTTCGCAAGTAAAGACAATTAAGCCTCTTGGGAAGTTGGGAAAACATTAAAACCTGATCATTCTGGTTTAAATTCATTATAATAAGAGATGCACAAAAATCCTCATTTTAACCAAGTAGTACTGCAGACCGAAGAATTCTCTCCCTGCCCTGCCGCACCCTCCCACCTTCAGGGCACAGCTGGGCAGCCTCCTTCTCTGACACCATCAGGGGACCACTGCCTGCCACTTTGCTACACAGCCCCTTTCAGAGAGCAAAGCTGTTTCCCACCCTCTGCCTCCTGACCTCTTCACCTCAAACCTGGGGGTTTGTAGGGAAGCTATCCTTGTCCCATTTTGCCATGAGGGTCACAGGGACTTAAAGAACTTGTGTAACACAGCTTCTGAGTCTGTGACGAGAGCCAGTGTCCCTAAACTGGCACCCCCCTGACTAGCCACATCCAGGGTACCTGGAAGGTCATGTCAGTAGATTCCAGACTGAAAAGTGTCCCCTCCATGTAAGTGGGAGATAGTTGGTGACCCCAGAGAGGGACCCAGTTCCTGTGGGTGCTGGGGCCAAACGCCAGCCCGCAGAGGGCTGAGGGGTGAATGGGGAAGAGGGAACATGGGGATGATGGGTGCGGTTGCTCTTCCAACAAGCCTCACCTTGAAGGTGGAAGAGAGGGGCAGGAGTTCAGGGGAGGGTAGAGGAGGGCGAGGGCACATCCTCATCCTAAGTGGGGAGTGACTTGAGGCTTCGCATATGCTGAGGAGAAAAAGCCAGTGGAGCTGTTAGGCAGAATCTGATGCACAGAAATCCTGAGGAGGGGTCAGGGGCTAGGGATGTGGCGGGGAGGGAGATGGTAGTTACCACAGCACTGGCACACCGCACAGACCTTCATGTGTGTCCACAGATTTCATCCTCACAGCAACTCTGCAGGGTGTGGACTGTCATCATCCCCATTGTATGGATGAGCAAACTGAGGCACAGAGAGGCTGCGTGACCTCTCCGAGGTCCCTCAGCTAGTGGGTGTGGGAGCTGGGGCTGAGCCAGGCAGATTAGGTCCGAGCAGGGATGCTGCCCTTGAGACAGGATGGGGGTGGGCGTGCCGTGGGGCTGGCGGGAAGTGACGGAACAGCACTGCACATCATGCAGGCTGTGATGTCAGAGCAGGACCGCCTGCAGAGGACTGGGGGTGGGGGTGGGGGGTGGTGAGGAATGAGGTTGAAGGGGGCCGAAGCTCTGGGGTGGGTGGGGAGCTGGCAGGGACACCAGAAATGTTTCAAGGCCCCACTTAGGTTGCAAGGTGGGAAACGGGGGGCTGCCCACTGCCGAGAGGGGGACACAGGAAGGAAGACGAGGGTGAGCGCGAGGAGGAGCCCAGGATGTGGGCAGAGGGGAATCTTATGAGATCCTATCTGGTGGTCCTGGGCTGAAGCAAAAAGGGAGAGGAAAGATGGGGGCCAGGGAGAGGGCGGACTGGAGACCTCGGCCCCCAGACTTCGTTGCAGACGCTCCCAGAGACCAATAAACCTGCCCTCCGAATCTGTGCCTTGCAAGTCTCCTGCCCCTGCCCCGGTGGGCACCCCTCCCTGGAATGGTGAGATCCCCTTTCACAGCCTCTCTGCCCTCTGAGACTGGACCCCATTTATAGAATCGGGTTTCTCCCCAGCTCTGACACCTTCAAATGCAGGTGTTGTGGGTATCAGGGAGAAGCCAGGCCTGTGACCTTGGGCAGCCCCCGGCCCAGCTCATCTTCCAAGTCCCACCTGCCTGCCCTCCCCCTCGTCGTGATGCTCTGCAAATCTGAGATGTGTTCATTTACACAAAGGCTGGGACCACGTCTTCTACCCTCTGATCCTTTGGGGTACTCTCTGATCTGGCCCCACCTAAACACCCAGCCCCATTGCTAATTACCCCCAGCACAGGCCTTCCACCTGAGGCTGCCCTTGGACGGGCATGTGCCCAGAGCACTGGGTTTGGAATCCAAAGACCCAGATTCCGATTCTGGTGGGAGAGAGAGCTCCGCCTCCAGGAAGTCTTCCCTGATTACAGGTCCTCGTTGCTGGCCTGGCCCCTCTTCTGATTCCTACAGCACTAACAGCCTTTGGTGCATGAGTTGGCACCCAGGTATACTGCACAGGTTCTTCAGATGTCTCCCAGCCAGTGCAATGTCTGTGCCTGACTCGCCTCTGTGTGTCGTCCATTCACTCAGTTGCATCCATGCAATAAATGTTCACTGGGCTAGGCCCTGGGCAGACAGGAGTAAGCAGCACAGGCATAGTCCCTGCCATCAGAGAAGGCAGGGTCTCCTGAGGAAACAAAAGTAACCGGACACCCCCAATCAGTCTGGCCAGCGCTATGGTAATAGCACCCCGGGAGTACTGCAGGAACACCCTACACATTATGGCGGGAGGGGGGAGGGAAGACTTCTGGGAAATGACATTTCAACTAGGACCTACTCTGGGAAAGAGGATGGAGCTAGCCCAGGGAGAGGAGGGAGGAGGCATGTTGCAGACAGAAGATCTGTCTGCGCAAAGGCCCAGAGGGTGAGGGCGGTCGGGCAAGGTGAAAACAAGACCAGGTGGAGGAACCAGATGTCAGAGTGTGAGCCGGGAGCTGGGGAAGGGGCCAGAGCCATCGGTAGCAGCACAGCAGCCAGGTTAAGGCCTCGGGCACTGTGTCTGGCAGTCAGGACCTTCTCCTAAGTGCAGTCTGTGGGGAGCCCCACTTCTGGTTGGATCTCCAGGGGGCCAGGAGGCCGTGGCTTACCTGCCGTGTTCCTCTGTCCACAGCTACCGGACCCTGGCCACGGAGCACGAGGCATTGATGCAGAAGTACTTGCACCTGCTGCAGATCGTGGAGACCGAGAAGACGGTGGCCAAGCAGCTGCGGCAGCAGATCGAGGATGGGGAGATTGAGATTGAACGGCTGAAGGCAGAGGTGACCGACCACCTGGGGAGCAGAGGAGGCTGGCGGGGGGCCCGGGCCTCAGACCTCAAACCCGGGCTCCCACAGGGTCAGGGAAGCACATGATGGGCAAGAGGGACCCGCTCCAGCCACGGCTGTGCCAGCTTCCAAACTTAAAGTCAGTGATGCTGGCAGAGTGGGAAGGTCCTGGGGTCAGATCTGGGGTCGAAGCCCACCTCTGCCACTTACCAACTGCAACCTGGAGCAAGTTCTCCAGCCTCTCTGCACCTCCATCCTTAAAACAGGCTGTTTCTCCCTAGCTGACAAGGTTGTGAGGATCAAGTGAGATCATTTATGGGCAAGTTCCTGGTTACTCTGCTGACAGCCACACGGGCGGAGGGGGTGAGGGCAGGGCCAGAGGGTGGCTGGTAGGTCCTTAGATTGCGGCTTGGGCTCAGCTCCAAGGCGGTCCCTTCCCTCTGCCTGTCACAACTGTCCGGAGGCTGAGCCGTTGCTAGGTTAAGCCTTCTAGAACTTCACCACTCAACGTGTGGTCCATGAAACAGCAGCCCATGAGAAATGCAGAACCTAGGGCCCCACCCAGCTCTCCCAAATCAGAACCTGCACTTTAACCACATCCCGGGAGATTCTCATTTATGGGTTGGCCAAAGGGTTCGTTCAGGTTTTTCCGTAACATCGGCGGAAAATCCCGAACAAACTCTTCGGCCAACCCAATACATTAAAGCATGGGAAGCGCTGGCTTTCAGCCCTTAGACACCCCTTACCAGCTGTGCACGCCGCCACGCAGGGATCTGATCGCCTCTCACCCCCTCACTTCACCAGCGCGCTCAGAACCATCTGGCTCCCTCACACAAGGTCTGCGACTCTGAGCCGAGGAGGGGCATATGAAAACACAGATCCCTGCAATCGGAGTTAGCTGCATAATTTGCAGGGCCCGATGCAAGGTGAAAATGTAAGGCCCCGGCCAGCGTGGGGGAAGTCAGTCTCCCCTTCCCACTCGCCACGGCCTCCGCCCATCGTGGGCAGGCCACCGACGACTTCAACCGCCAACTCCCCTAACCTCTGCGCCCTGATGCACTCAGTACCTAGATTCAGGTGGGCAAGGGACCCTTGCCAAGTCACCCACTTAATGCCCCAGGCAGTATCAGCCTGGGCAGCACAGTTGTCTCCTCGCCCTGCCCTGTGACACCACAGGTATACACAAGACCCACCTTCTCTGTACCTACACCAGGCCCTGCAGAGGGTGGAGGCGGACAGTGAGATGTGTCTGCTGGGCTGACTTGACCCGTTGTCACCCAGACAGAGGGTTGCAGAGGCCTGGGTCCCAGGATGCCGGGGTATAAGGAATAGGCAGGGAGACAGGAACACGCATGAGCTGAGGCTCCAAGCCCCTGGGGTGTGCCCCATGGTCCCATCAGACTCACTCATAAAACGCAAATTCAAAGAGAAGATTCTTAAGAATTTCAAGACAGCAACAGCTGTCTATCACCTTTGCAAGAACCAATTGTTACGTTTTCAAGAATTTTGCAAGCTAGTTATTCAACCTTTGGTAGCTTCAAATGGGCTGAGGTAGGAATGCCCACACCATGGAAACTGGCAGGTGCTACCAGTCAGAGGTTTTCTTTCAGAGAGCTGGTCATGAAGCATTTACCAATATCCCATTGTCTACATCTTTTTTCCTAATGTGCAGGACCTGGTGCAAAATAAAAATGCAGGGCCCTTAAGAATCTCAAAGCAGCAGCAGCAGAGCTTTAAAGCAAGCGTTGGTCCCTTCTAAGCCTGGAGCCGTGCACGGGTCACACATCCAGGAATCCAGCCCTGTTTCTACTCCCAACCCTGTAGCCCCCACCCCTAGCCCTGGAAGTGACAGGAGATCACATCCAAACAAAAGTCTGCAGAGAGCGTTACCAAGCGTAACTATCCACCTCTGTCTTAGTCTCTTTTCTCCCATCTAAACAGCCCTGTTAGGCTTCATCTTTCATAACCCAAAGGCTCTACGGACCATCTAAAACAAAGGGAATGTCTACCTCTGAGAAGAATCGCCCCCCCCCCCCAGAATGCTCAGTTTGGCCCATTTCATTGTTTTGTTGGTTGGTTGGTTGGGGGTTTTTTGGCCACTTTATGTGGCTTGCAGGGTCTTAGTTCCCCGGCCAGGGACGGAACCAGCGACCCCTGCAGTGGAAACGCGGAGTCCTAACCGCTGGACCGCCAGGGAATTCCCCCATTTCATTGTTTTAATAGCTGTTTTCCTCCCATTTATGATGGGAAGTAAATTTGGAGAGTGAAGACAGGCCCTAAAGGGCAAAATAGGAGTTTAGAGGTAGTCGTAATATTTTATTGGCTTGGAAGCACTCAGGATCCTGGGCGGCTGACACTGGAAGAAATGGAAAAGATCTTTAGTTCAGGGTTTAAATAAAAATTTAGGGCTTCCCTGGTGGCGCAGGGGTTAAGAATCCGCCTGCCGATGCAGGGGACACGGGTTCGAGCCCTGGTCTGGGAAGATCCCACATGTCGTGGAGCAGCTAAGTCTGTGTGCCACAACTACTGAACCTGCGCTCTAGAGCCTGTGCTCCGCAACGAGAGAAGCCACCGCGATGAGAAGCCCGCGCACTGCAAAAAAGAGTAGCCCCCGCTAGCCACAATTAGAGAAAGCCCACATGCAGCAGCAAAGACCCAACACAGCCAAAAAGAAATTAATTAAATAAATAAATAAATAAAAGAACTAAAAACATTGGAAAAAAAATTTAGCCATGGGATTGGTTTTGCAAACAAACTTCAACATGGTACCCCACTTCATAAACTAGGTCAGTGAGGGGACTACTCTGGGAGAAGTAAGAAAGGACGGCCGTGACCCCTCCCATGCAGCCCCTCCCCAGGCCCCCTCTCCAGGGCCCACCCTGCATGCCTTGAGTCCCGCTTCCCATCTCCCCCTTGCCATCCTCACCCCCGCCGCCCTGGCACACAACACCCTGTCATACCTGTGCCTTTGTTCACACACCCCCTCTCAAATTCCCTCCATCCTGTAGCCCACCTGTTGGGCTCTTTGTCCTTCAAAACTCCTTCCAGGTAGCCCTTGCCGCTTTCATGGTGAGACCTTCCCATTGCAGTAGGTACATACCTCGCTTCTGGCCTCTCCTCGTCTGATTATAAATTGCCTCTCTGGGGGTCTGACCCCCTTCTCAGGCTGGAAGATCCTCCCGGGAAGGGATCTGACTCATCCACCTTACCCAGTGGCGAGCTGTGTCTCACCAGTACCCAACCCAAAGCCTGCATCAGGATCCGCTGGCGGTGTTGGCACAAAGGTAGACAGTGTCTCACCAGTACCCAACCCAAAGACTGCATCAGGACCCGCTGGCGGTGTTGGCACAAAGGCAGACAGAGATGGGCACCCACTGGGCTTGGAGGAGACCAGAAGAGATCAAGAAGGAGGGAGAAAGAACTGAGCTGCATGGCAAGAGCTACAGAGACCTGCAGGAAAACAAGAGCTACGGAGATCGTTAGTAAAACCTTGGAGGCTAACAAAAAGGAAAGAACCTGGATTAATTCCACTATCAATGACTGCACTGACGAAATGCATTCTGGATGAAAGACACTGTCTCCAGAGGGGGGAGTAGGATGGGGCAGAAGCCCAGGCGCTATGCCTCAAAGGGGTGTGGCAAGCAGGGTTTTCCTCTGATGGGTCAAGGGGGCCAGACGATGGGTGGCCAGTGGGCGGGGGCCAGCAGAGACACCAGGCTTTGAGCCAGGTCAGACAGCTGGAGCTGGACTCTAGCTGGCAAGTTGGGTGTGAGCCAAAGTCCCCACTCTGTATGGCCTTCATTGACAGGGGTCAGCTGAGCAGACCCTGAACATCCAGCAAGCAAACCAGGGTCCAAGTCAAATCCATCTCCAGAAGAGACCTGCCAGGGTAAGAGAAAGGCTGCCTCCGTGAGCTCACCTGACACTGGCTCCTGGCAGGGATGGGCTGTAGCCCAAGACTTCTGCAGGGTCCCCAGGCTCACAACCCTCTAGAGCTTTGCCCACCAAGCCTGATCCTTAAACAAAGACTCCAAGGCTGCTGGCACTGCCTGTGCACGTAGCATAGTACCTGACCTAATTGCATCTATTTTTTGCCCTGGTCCCTGCTGAGTAGATGTCCTGGAATGCCTCTCTCTGAGACAAGCGCCAGTTTTAAATACAGACCACACACACACACACACACACACACACACACTGCCATCCAAAAGAAAAAAAAGGTTTCCGTGTGCAAATCTCAAAACTGGCAGAGAAAGCAGACTGGCGAGGAGGTGACAACATCAGACCAAAGGTGGGCATTGACTGGGCATCCTTGCATCTCTGAGCTCTCCAGTAGCCTGCCTCTGTGTGTGTGTGTGTGTGTGTGTGTGTGTGTGTGTGTGTGCTCGCACGTTCCTTAGGCCTTTAGAATACAGATCAAAGAATCAGCCTTTATTTTAATGTGCAGATGTTCCCAGAGAATGGAGAGAAAAGGTGGGGGGGGAGAGAAAAAAGAAAAGCCCATGTCGGTGCTGAATATTTCTCAGATATTTTCAGCCGCTCTCCAAGCACAGGCCAGGGTAATTTTAGCAACCCGCAAGTGGAGAGCGGGTAACTGTTCCATCTTGCTTTCAAAGTGCTCAATTCGCTCAATTGTGAGAGCCCATTCATTCCGCACTTCAGCAAGTGGCCTTGAGGGGACAAAGCCACGTGCTCTGAAGAGGATCGAGGGGCTCTGGCTTTGTGGCAGTGTTTGTGGATTCCCCTGAGCTGCTATCTTTAGACGTGTGGGGCTTGATGACTGCAGTGTTTTCCTGTGGTTGAGGTTTTTGTTGCTGCTGCTTTTCTGATCCTTTTGAAAAAAAAATTTTTTAATGAAACCTCTTTTATTATTTTTTATTTATTTATTTTTTTGCCGAGCTATGCAGCACGTGGGATCTTAGTTCCCTGACCAGGGAGGGAACTCGTGCCCCCTGAAATGGAAGCGTGGAGTCCCAACCACTGGACTCCCAGCCAGGGAGGTCCCTGCTCTGATCCTTCTTTAACTTACTTACTATGTAGCCAACAAATATATATTGAGTGCCAGCCGAATGCTAAGGACCGGGAGCCCAGGAATGAATGAAACGGGGTGGTCCTTCGCCCACAGAGCTCACAGCCGCGATGGATACATAGGCATTGCCTGCATTTTCCCGGGAAAGTCCGCAGGCCGTGGGAGCCTTGTGGAGGACCCCCAGCAGAGACTTGCGGACTTGGGGGTGGCAGGAAGGAACCCACCCAGGGGCTACACCACAGGCCCATCCACCTGAGCAGTGCCAGAGGCTCCAGCCACAGTATGGCTAAAGGCACCCGTTCTCCTGCTCACCACCCCGTTGGTCTTGTTCTTGCAGCTGGGCCGACCTCTCTGATCCCGAGATCTGGCAAATGGAGATTCTTAGATCAGCTCAAACGTTCGTTTCCAGGGCTCTTCCGTTTCTCTAGGCCAGGAGTTTCCAGGTTGTGCTCCAAAGAGGGCTCCAAGTCAGAGAAGTGCTTCCGGGTTGTCCCAGGACGGGACAGCCAAGCCAGCAGTGCTTTCATCTGAAGTCCTGCTGGGGCTCCAGGACGGTTTTGTTTGAGAAAAATAATGGGACTACCCCAGTGCCCACCGATGGATGAATGGACGGCAACATGGGGTCTGTACATACAATGGATGTTACTCAGCCTTAAAAAAGAAGGAAAGTCTGACACATGATGTGACATGGGTGAACCTTGAGGATGTTATGCTGGTGAAATAAGCCAGCCACAGAAAGACAAATACTGTCTGATTCCACTTAGGCGAGGTCCCTAGAGGAGTCAAATTCATAGAGACAGAAAGTAGAAGGGCGGGTGCCAGGGACTGAGGGAGGAGGGATGGGGAGTCAGTGTGTTTTGTTTTGTTTAGGCTGCACTGTGTGGCATGTGGGATCTTAGTTCCCTGACCAGGGATCAGACCCACACCCCCTGCAGTGGAAACGCAGAGCCTTAACCGCCGGACCACCACAGAAGTCATTAAACTCATTATTAAACTCATTAAACTCATTATTGTTTAATGAGTACAGAGCTCGGGGAGCTGAGAAAGTTCTGGAGGCGGATGGTGGTGACGGTTGCACAACAATGTGAATGTACTTGATGCCACTGAACTGTGCACTTAAAATTGGTTAAAGTGGTAAATTTTATGTTATATATATTTTACCACAGTAAAAATTCGAAAGTAAAGGGACTGATGGTTTAGGGAATAAGGAAGAGAATCACAGATTTGGACCAAAGCTCCCAGATTACAGATGGGTTGCCTGCAGCCCAGAGAGTGCCTCGCCCAGGGTCACTCGGAGTCAGAGCCCAGCTGCCCTGGACCCAGGTGGACAGGGTCCCTGTCCGGTGCTCACTCACCGACTTCTGGCTCGAAACCTCCCACAGAGCAAAGGACATGAGCTGCAGTACCACTGGTCCTTGGGGAGCATGTGGCAGGGCGCTCACTCACCACACCACGCCTGGTGGCAGCCGGAGGGGTGGGGCTTCCACCAGCTGGTGCCGCTCGGCCCCTGCAGCTGACCTGTGTTTCCATTGCAGATCGCATCCCTGCTCAAGGACAATGAGCGCATCCAGTCCACCCAGACTGTCACACCCAACGACGAAGACAGTGACATCAAGAAAATCAAGAAGGTCTGTACCATCTCTCGGGGCTGGCAAATCTGCCCTGGCCCTCTTTAGAGAGCCCCCTGGCACAGCCCAGGGTCTGCAGTGTCCACCTACTGTCCCACTGCTCCCGGGCGTGCCACTCCCACCTCCGCTCCAAAGGCAGAATCAACAGCCCCTCACCCCAGACCAGCACCTCGTCGAGCCATGTTTTCTGGTTGTCTCTGTGAGGTAGGGTGGTTCAGCCCATTTGACAGATAGGAGAACTAAGGCTCAAGAGATGAAAGAGTAGATAGAGCCAGGGCAGGAACCCAGGCTGTGAGACTCACAGCTGAGAGCTTTCCTCACAACCCTGGGCAGCCTCGGTGAGACCCCAGGCCACACGTCCACTGTCACAGCCCTGCATGCCCGCCTTCCCCCCAGCTACTGTCCTGCAAACACCTCCTCCTTTCATCCCCGGCAGACGTCAGCATGGGAGCCGGCCTCTGTGACACCCCTTAGCTGGCCCCACTGGTTTTACACTCTTAGAGGCTAGGAGGAACATCTCAGGAGGTATGAGAAAGCTGCCCGGTGGCAGAGAGAATGACCAGCACCATAGGCCACCCCATGGAGGGGCATGTGGAGAGGAAGAGTATGGTCTGTGTTTGCAGCTTGCCAGCCTTGAAGCAGGGGAGCCTGACTCACCGTAAGAAAAACACAGGAAACCAGAAAATCCTCCTTGTTGAGAGCGTAAAAGGACACCAGCGCCATCCAGACCAGAAAACTGCTAACTGGCATCCCACAGGCCAAGTTCAGCCTACCAGCATGTTTGGGGTTCTTAGCCCACACGGTGTTTCTTTTTTCCCTTTTTAATTTGTTGCCAGTGCTTTAAAAGCTAAACATTTCACATAAAAATATGTATTTCTGGTTTCTCAAAAATAGGAAGAGCTAACATTCATTACGCACTTTCCATGTGCCAGACACTATTCTAGGAGATTTATGCAGATTAATCTGTTCCTAACTAAAAGCCCTCTGAGGTTTTATTATTATCTGCGTTTCACATGTGGGGTTGCTGAGGCACAGAAAGGCAAAGTGACTTCCCCAGGTCACACAGCTAAGTATTTGCAGAGTGACATTTAAACCTTGGCCACCAAGCTCCAGAGCCCACATCCTTGGTCACTGGGACACACGATCTCTTGGAAAAGCAGAAGGTCTCACAGCCCGGGCCCACCTCCTGCACGTGGTGACTGCTGGCCCTAGGCCAGGTGCTCTCCCATTAGTGCCCACCCAGCCGGCTTCAGGATCTATAGGACCTGCCAGGCCCCCGTGGACATTGGGATTTGCCACCAGTGTCACCTGGGGTCTGAGCCAAGTCCCGCCCAGGCAGGGATGCACTGGCCTGCCTTCTCTGCCATGGCCCCACTGGGCTTCCCGGCCCGTTTTGCAAAGCCATTCTGGTTGGAACATTTTTTTAAGTACCACTTGAAATGCACCTCCCTCCTTTTGTTTTCACCCTCCTGGGGCCTCAGAGCAAGGCCCTCCTTTATCCAGAAAAGCTTTCTCTCTTCAAGGAGATCTGTCGTGCTGAGGCCAGGCCTCTCCTCCCCAGGGCAGACGTCCCTGGCCAAAGGTCTGCACCCGGATGGTTGCATCTGCTGTGCATGGCCAGTGCCCTTTGCAGCCGATAATATTTTGATGAGTGCCTTGGCAGGTGGCCCCTGGATCTCCAGGTGCCCCCACCCCAGCACCGCCCAGCACCCTTGCTCCTGGGGCCCTGGGGCCCTCCCTGTGCAGCCCCTGAGCTTGCACACAGCTCAGCAGCAGGGATGGTGGGGAGCTACATGGTGCCTTGGTTGGAAGCGTGCATATCTTAAAACAGTTCTCTGTGTCTGTGAATTGAGGCCCTTCCCAAGTTCTTGCCAGAACGAGGCCAGGCCAAGCAGCCCGGCTCCAAGTTGGGCAAGTCAAGTGTCTGTGTTCATTTCCCCGCGGAGGTAGAGGAGAGGCTCCAGGCGGGCGCCGATGAGGCCCAAGCATGAGATTAACTAATTTGCCGCACTGAATTTGATAATCGCCCTCTATCCAGACGAGCTTTCATTGAAACTTCGGGGCTTTCAGGCCAGTCATTAGGCAAGAAGAGGTGTGAGCCATGCCCAGCACAGCCTGGCAACCCTCTATGCTCAAGCCCCCTCCCGTGATGGGGACTCAGGGCCACACTTTTCCTCCTTCGGAGGATGTTGCCAAAGCAACCTGGGGGATGTGGTTTAAATGCAGAGGGCCGGGGCAGGGCCTGGGGGTTTGCATTTCTAGCAAGTTCTGGGGAGATGCTGATGCTCCCGTGCAGGGACCTCACTTTGAGTCCAGCCGTCATCTCATTAGCCCCATGGCACAGATGGGAAACGGGCTTAGAGGAACCAGAGGGCTTGCCTGGCACCACGCAGGCAGAAGCACCAGGCCTGATCTTTTGCCTCAGCTATTTTCCCTACGTGCCCGGCGTGGGGGACAGCAGGGCCTTGGCCCCTGCCCTTGGGGCGCTCACAGCCTGGAAGGACCAGAGCCGCTGAGGCTAACGGGAGACCCTCCCGCTGGTCTCGGCGCCCAGGTGCAGAGCTTCCTGCGGGGCTGGCTGTGCCGGCGCAAGTGGAAGACCATCATCCAGGACTACATCCGGTCGCCGCACGCCGACAGCATGCGGAAGAGGAACCAGGTGGTGTTCAGCATGCTGGAGGCCGAGGCCGAGTACGTGCAGCAGCTGCACATCCTTGTCAACAACTTCCTGCGCCCCCTGCGGATGGCCGCCAGCTCCAAGAAGCCTCCCATCACGCACGACGACGTCAGCAGCATCTTCCTGAACAGGTGAGCACCCTGAAGCTCAGCGCCCCCTCCCGGAGCCCTTGGCTGGGGCGGGAAGAGGGAGCCTAGCCGGCACTGAACTTGGACACGAGCCCTTGACTAGTCCCCGCCAAATGCAGAGGAGGAAACTGAGACCCAGAGAGGAAGGAAGCTGCCCGAGGTCCCATGACGAGAAGCCAGTGTCCCAGCTACTGCAGGCGGGAATACAGACAGAGGCCCACGTAGTATATGTCTAAACTAGTGGTTCAACTGGGGCAATGCTGGGAGACATGTTTTTTTTTTAATTTATTTTTTGCTTCAGAAGGATCAAGGAGGATCCATGGCTGGCAATCCCTGGGAGGCAAATTTTTTTTTAATTTTATTTTGTTTATTTTTTTATACAGCAGGTTTTTATTAGTTATCCATTTTATACATATTAGTGTATATACGGGAGACATTTTTGATTGTCAAAACTTGGCGGGGCTGCAGGGGAGGGTTTGCAACTGGCATCGGGCGGGTAGAAGTCAGGGAAGCTGCTGAACATCCTACCGTGCGCAGAGCAGTCTCCCACAGCAGAGCATTCTTCCACCAAAAATAATCGTGCCAAGGTTGAGAAACCCTGGTTTAAATGTTCACAAGTTATAAATCAAGCTACAGAAAACCACATGGGTTCCGTTCTTCTACCTTCATATCATCGTCGTAACGGTCTAGAAGCCAGGTCTAAATTTTTAGAATCCTGAGTCCCCTTAGCGTGGGGCTGTGTATCACACTACCCACATATCTTACGAAAGCAAGGCTGAGCTGATGGCTGCCCTTCTGCTGTCAACCTCTTTTTAAAAGTCTTAGGAAATGGTTTAAATGAGCTTTTTGGTAGGCATGAAAATTGGGTAAACTAGGTAAAAGCAACAAATATGAAAACCTATCAACAGAGTGCTATTTACAAATGATTCTCGATCAGGAATTAAAGTAAATCACTGTGTGCTCCAGGTTGTTCATTCAGCGGCATTTCTTTTAAAGTATCCATCATTCCAGTCATTTCACTAATTGCAGCTGGCCCTCATCCACGCCCTCTGCAGAGGTGTTTGGGACCCAGGGTCACCTCCCCTGTGCCCTGCTCTTCCCCTTTACCTGCCAGTGTGCTGTGACGAGTTTAGGGACCTGTGGGACACCCGGAAGGAGATGGGGTAGAGGCAGTGGACGTGGGTCTGATTCTGAGAGGTTGAGCCGGAGATGCTGAAAGTCACTGGGAGAAGGACAAGGACAGGGACATTGGGATGCTGACACCATGGATGTGGATGAGGTGTCGGAGTATGGGGACGTGGTGGGGGTGGGGAGCAGGGGGAGGGGAGTGGCTTTTAGCCTCATTAGACCTTCTAGAAACTGAATCACTGGGCCTTACAAGGTTGCTTTTTTTTTTTTTTTTGGCGGTATGCGGGCCTCTCACTGTTGTGGCCTCTCCCGTTGCGGAGCACAGGCTCCAGACGCACAGGATCAGCGGCCATGGCCCACGGGCCCAGCCGCTCTGCGGCATGTGGGATCTTCCCGGACCGGGGCATGAACCCGTGTCCCCTGCATCGGCAGGCGGACTCTCAACCACTGCGCCAGCAGGGAAGCCCAAGGTTGCTTTTTAATATACATTTCAAACACAGTTTTTAGAGAGTAAATAAATGCTTTGATTTCTTTATTAAAACAAAGAAAATAGGTATTATTGTTTTGTGAAGTCAGGTAAGATTTTCTCCAGAAACTACAGTTGGGTCTTTTAAACTCAATGACCTGGAATTTGGCTGAAAAGTGTGAAGAACTTGTTTCTTCCTGAATAAACTCTGGACAGCTCAGCTGGAGTCACAGCTTCTCAAACGTGAACGCTGGGCCTCACCCCGAGCTTCTCAATCTGTAGATCTGGAGTAGAGCATAGGGATTGCATTTCCAGCAAGTCTGTAGGTGCAGCTGCTGCTGCAGGTCCCAGAGCACACAGAAATGAGAGGCTTGAGATAACCGCAGGGGGCTGCCTGTATTGGAGGCTCGGCCACGGACCTGCCTGAGAAATACTTCAGGAAGCATTGTAATAGTTCTAGGTTGTTTGTGCTTTCCTTGCACTTTAGGCCACAGTTGCAAACTTTTGGTGACCGTTTATCATAACCACTAAGAGATAAAGGTCCCCTTTTGTATTTATTTAATCTTTGCATAATTTTGTTACACTGCATTCAATGGAATTCTTTTCACCTGTAATCTTTGGTTAAGAGTATTCATACCAACTCACAGAATGTGTTCAAAAGTTGTTTGAAGAAAATCACAACGTGGTTTTATATTTTTGTCTGTTAGTCACTGCATGGATCAGATCAGATGCCTTTAACAGAATAAACAGGAGGGAAGAAAGTCCCCTCTTTTGCTGGTGTCCTTCTAAGCCCCTGCAAGGCCTGTTTCTCCTTTTCCACAATGTGCCCAAGGTTGACTGTTTCCCATCTTAGCAGTCTCATTGATCCTGGTCAAAATAACCCCAGCCTGATCAATCTTTAAGGCCTCCAGAATATGGACTCTAGCGGTCCTCGGAAACACTGACCAGGGAATGGGACCTGCCTCTTGTAGGTGTTGGAGAATCAGATGAGAGCTCACGTAAGCATCTAGTACAGAGCCCAGCATAGCCCAAGTGCTCATAAGAGCTAGACATTAGTACAACAAGAAAGCTTCACTATGATGCACCCTGTGAGAAACTGAATTCAAATCTAATGTGGAGGGAGCACTTCTCAACTCATTCTGTGAGGCCAGCATGACTCTAATACCGAAATCAGAAAAAGACATTATGGGGAAAGAACACTACAGACCCCTATTGCTCTGATCATAGATGCAAAATATTATAAAATCGAATCCAGAAATATATGAAAAGGATAATACATCATGACCAAGTGGAATTTATCCCAGGAATGCAAGGTTGGTTCAACATTGAAAATTAATCAAATATGTTTTACCGTATTTTCTTACAATATTAAGTAAGAAGAACCAATGATCCTATCAATGGATGCCAATCTGAGGCGACTGGCTTCTCTCCACCCCCTGGCCCCTGTTCTCCATCGGGAGCAGGTTGAAATTCTTTCCTTCCCCCGGGGCCCAGGGTGGGGCAGGAAGAGCTAGAAAATTACTGCCTTCTAATCATTCACCCCTCACTATATGATCCACTGGGTACACAAGAGTGTAAGCTTCACTGTCTTAACCTCTGTGCTTTTTGTGAGCACAAAGAACGGCTGAAATTTTTTTTTCATTAACTGTATAGCAACCCTGCACAGCACTTTGCGTGACTGAATGTTTTGGACGACACTCACCACGTTAAGATGGTGTTTTGTGGGACCTGCTTGGTGCCAGGCTCTCTGTAAGCACTTGGCCTACGTAATTTCCAATCCTCAGAGAGGCCCCATGAGGCTGGTACCAGAGATCAGAGAGGTGACGGGGTGTGCTCAGGGTTCGGGTGGGCTGTGATTTTAACCCAGTTCTGTTTTATGTGAAGGCCTGTGCTTCCCCCCTGCTGCCCTGTTAAATAATGGGCTGGAATCTTCACCGACCCCCATCCTCCTTACCCCCATGCCTGCTCATCACAGCCCAGGTCTCAGCATGTACTCCTGCCCACGCCTGCACTGTCGAGAACTTTTGATTGTACGTGAGCCCAGCCTTCCCTCTTACCGTGTAGGTGCTGTGGAGGCCGGATCCGGGACATGAACCGTCCAGGTCTCCCTGCCTCGGACCACAGCGCAGAGTCTGTATGTGTCACAGGTCAAGGGCGGAGGCTGCCAGCCCACTCACTAGAAGGCATTTCTGCACATAGCTTTCCCTTGGATTTGCATTTAGGCTGAAATGTACAGCCACATTAGACACCTGATGCCAATTTGGTGATTTCATTTGCTGGCGTTCTTTAAAAGAAGTCCTTGAGAAGAGAGAGGCCTCTGTCCAGGTTGGCAGGTTCACGGAGGACGCTGCCGAGCTGGGGAGGGGGTTAATTGTGTGCTTCCTGAATGCTGCGGGGGGAATCTTTGAAGTAAACGTGTGCACCAGGTTATGTTTAACTGAAACAATGAGCATATACTCTTGGGCTCTTTCCCTTTAATAAAAACCATGCCCAGCAACGTGTGCTGGGAGCCACAGGCATTGCCCCGTGATGAGAGGCATCCCGCCTGGGGGACAGATGGTTTCCATCTTGATGCCCGCTCTGATTGACTGGCAGTGGTTGCCTGGAGTCCTGGGTGGAGAAGAATGATGAGGCTCAGTGGGGGCGTGTGTTGCCATCGATTCATCTTGTCTGCATGGCCTGGGGAGTGAGGAGGGACAGGCACAGGGTGAGGCTGGAGTGAAGAGGCCTGGTTCTGCCCTCCACGGGCCAAGCCCTGTGTACCTAGGACCAGCCTTGGGCAAGTCACACTCCTTTCTGGGCTCAAGAAGGGAACCAGGCAAAATGAGCACTTCCCGAAGCAGACAAGTCACTTCCTCTCCCTAGAATTCTTCCCACCCTACTGTCGTTCCTATTTTCCTTATGACAGCTGTCTCCTACTCTTTTTTTCATGTCTTTCCTTGGATGTCCCTGACCACCCCCATGCCCCTTGTCACCGCTGGCTTATGTTCCCTTGTTGTGTGCTTCCAGGGCCCCCATGCTGCCCCTTTTGTAGCATTCATGGCACTTAAATAATGATTTCTTCTGTGCATAGATTCCCTGCTGGACTATAAGTGTGCGGGGCCATAGAATATAGTTGCCCCGGCTGTGCGCTGCACAACTCAGGGACAACATTCACATAGACTAGGGATCAGCAAACTTCTTCTGTCAAGGGTCAGATAGTAAATATTTTAGGCCTTGTGGGCCAGAGGGTCTCTGTCAAAACTAGGTGGTCTTGGCAATCCTAAATGAATGGGTGTTGCTGTGTTCCAATAAACCTTGACTTATGGACACTAAAGTGTGAATTTCATCTAATTTTTACTTATCGTAAAATATTCTTTGGATTTTTTTTCAACCGTTTAAAATTATAAAAAGTCCTTCTAAGCTTACAGGCTGTACAGAAACAGAAAGTGGGCCAGTATTCTATATGGCAAGATTCCATGTCGTAAAGACGTCATTTCAGCCAAATCATGCTATACACTCAATATAATTCCAATCGAAGTGCAGCCTAGCAGAGTGATTTTAATGTTCAACTGAAGGAGTAAAATGCATGTAAATAGATAATAATGTTCTGAAAAAAACAATGAAAGAAACATTTCCTACATTAATTAAAATGTATTATAGGCCCATAAATATATTAAAAGTAATGAAAACAGCGTGAGACTATTGCCAGAACAGGCCAGTAGTCCATCAAAATAAAATACAGAGTCCAGAAACAGACTTACGCATGTATGAGAATTTAGTAACAAAAAGGCAGCTTAGCAAAGCAGTGGAAGCAGCTGCAGTATCTGATAAATAAAATGGGGCAATTGGCTACAAACTGAAAGAAAGATTAACGTTTATATCCCTGACTCACATCCTACACCAAAGTAAACTCTAGGTAAGTATTTATGTGTAAAAATGAAAGAGTAAAATAAAATATAGGTGAGTGTGCATGCAGTCTAAGAGTGGGAAAAGACATGATGCCTGAAGCAAAAACACAGAAAGAAAATCTCACAGGGCAAAATGGAAAACCTTCCAAAAACACCAAACACAAATCGTTGGGCAAATAGCTGAGCAAAATAATATCTGCAATGTATGTGTTAAGATTATACGCTTAATATGGAGAGTTATTTTAAATTAATAAAAGTGAAACTAGTAAATGGACATGACTTGGCAGTTCCCCAAAGAAGCAATTCAAATGGCCAATACAAAGGAGAAATGTTCAACCAACCCACTCACAATGATTTTGTAAAGCAAATCGAATCAAAATGAGATTATTTTTTTCTTATCAGCTAGGTAACAGTGGTCGTTTCTGCGTAGTAGGATGACAAGTGAAATCCTCACGGTTTATAGTACTTTAAAAACGGAGGCTTCGGGCTTCCCTGGTGGTGTAGTGGTTGAGAGTCCGCCTGCTGATGCAGGGGACATGGGTTCGTGCCCCGGTCCGGGAAGATCCCATATGCTGCGGAGTGGCTGGGCCCGTGAGCCATGGCCGCTGGGCCTGCACGTCCAGAGCCTGTGCTCCGCAACTGGAGAGGCCACAACAGTGAGAGGCCCGCGTACCGCAAAAAAAAAAAAAAAAAAAAAACAAAAAAAAAAAAACGGAGGCTTCATCTATTATATTTTTATAGTCCCAGCTTATGATGTTCCTAACGTGCTACCCTACAAGTCCATGCCGTGAATCCCGCACAGCGCATCCTGCAGCCGTCTGTGGGAGCTGCCCGGGAACGGGGCCCTGAGTCTTGCTGTGGCCGGTGCTCGGGGGCATCCAGAGCCTCTCAGCTCCCCAGGAACCCCTGAAAGTCCTCCTACCTCCACCCTGCCCCGCATCAGGGCCCACGTTCTCCCTTCTGTGCACTTTCACGCACCCCTGGACGGGTCTCTTTTGAATTTTTCTAAGGGTCTTCCCATGTGGACGACTAAAGTTCTTCACATTGGTACAGTACATGTTTATCTATTCAGTAACTAGTTCAGGGGCCACAGACAGGAAGAAACCAGCCCTGTCAAGGGTGAATCTGTCACAGACTTGTTACCTGAAAACTGCAAATGACTTCAGCCATCAGGCGGGGCCCCTAGTCCAGAAATCACGGTGTCACCACACCTGGGGGGGCCTGTTCTTTTGGGACTTTAGGGAGATGACAGTTAATTCACGGTAATGAGAGGACCACTCTCAGGAATGAGAACTCGGGAGTGTTTCTGCTACTTAGATACTTGTTAAAGGCCCTACCGGTTCCAGCCCTTCTGCACATCCTGCGGGTGTGATGGAGTTATAGGCTCTGCTCTTCAGCCGTAGGTGCCGTGTTCTGTTCTCTCTCCCCACCACCACCTCTCACCTCCCTCACCCCTTTCTCTCTTGCAGCCCTCCCTTCTTTTCTTTTTCACACTCTTTTTCTCCCCACCCACCCTGTTTTCTCTGCAGAGTGGGGTGCTCAGGGCATTTCAAAGTCCTCTGGGGTCAGGGAGCCCTGTGCCTCCCAGGCCCCCATTGGCTTCCTGTGTCTCACAGCTCAGGGGCATCTCTGCGCCCACCCAGCGCCTTCCACTCCCTGCCCTTGTCCTGAGAGTGTGAGACCCCAGGATGGGGGTTTGCCTTCAGGACACAAACTCCTGGGAGAGGGGACAGCACCCAATGACAGAGCCAGTGGGGACTTGAGGGGGCCAGGGAAGCCAGCAGCCGCAGTGCCCCCTCCTCGGCCGGCTTCACGGGCATTTCACTGCATGCTTAGAAAAACCGTGCTTAATTTGAGGCTCTGCTGTCACCATCCTGAAATTCCTAATCATTGGTTAACCAGGGGCCGGCGTGTTTGTTTTGCGTTAGGCCCCGTAGACTGTAGGGTCCATCCCACTGATGGGGTTTCTCATGGGGTCTCACCTGAGAAGGTTTGCTGCTATAGTCCCACAGGCAGTGACAGCCCCTGCCCTCTCCCCTGGGGCCCCTCAGCTCTACTGAACTTTGGGGGAGGGGACACCTGGAAGGAGAGGAACTCCTGGCCGGAGCTTACCCTGTGCTTTCTCTTCCAGCGAGACCATCATGTTTTTGCACCAGATCTTCTACCAAGGCCTGAAGGCCCGCATCTCCAGCTGGCCCACTCTGGTCCTCGGTGAGTAGCAGCCCTGGCAGAGGTCTCCTGCCCCTCCGCCCCCATCCCCACCTGAGAAGTCCCTGTGCAGGGGCCACACCTCCTGGCTGGTGGTACTTTTGTCCTTCCCGAATGTAACAGAGCGGCCCCTTAAAAACTCACAGAATCCCTCAGAGGGAGCAGAAGAGGAAAGAGAAGTTGGCAAAAGCTACATTTCTAGGAGGAAGTGATATATTTTTAGTTTCTTATCTGCTTTTCCCTTTTAAAAATAATATATAGGTACCCATCTGAGAATCCAGAAAAGTAGGAAACATTTAAAAATATCAACGTTTCTGCTTCCCAAAGATAACTACTGTAAACACTCCGGTGTGTTTCCTTCCAATTTTTTTTCCTATGCATAGATCTTGGGGTTGTTTTTTTTTTTCCATTTTACATAATTGCAAACATACTGAATATAGAATTTGAATCTTGCTGTGGGTTTTTCTTTTTTTTTACTTAACATAATTGCATAAGTGTTTTCTCAAGCTGAAAGTATGCTTTTTGATGGCTGTATAATGTTCCAGTGCCCCGTGAGTCTGCCACCATCTGTGTAGCCATCTCCCTTCGTCGACTCTTAAAGTTGTTCTACCTTTTTGCTACTAAAAATAATCATCCCTGCGTGTGAAGTTGTCTCCATGTTAGAGAGCATTCCCCTGAGACAGGTGCCCAGAAGTAGAATTACTGAAACAATGGGGATGGACTCCCCACCGTGTACACATCGTCACCTTGCTCTCCAAGCCCTCACTCCTGGGAGTGATGTACAGGAGTGTGTCCCACATCCCGCCCCTCCCACACTGGGTACCATCTTCCTTTCACTTAATTCAATAGGAAAAGGTGAGTGTTGGTGTCACTTCCACTCTGGGGTCGAGGGAACAGGCTCAGGGAGGTGAAAGGACAGCTGAGGCTGAAAAGGCTCCTCTGCCCACGGGCCAGGAGACTTCCAGGGGCAGTGGCACCATTTTGTTTTTCTCCAAGGTCAAAATAAGAAGCAGCCCTAGAAAGACACAGGCTGCACTTTCTGTAGTCATACAGCTAAAGAGGTTGTCCACTGGGTAGTTGGATGCCCAACATAAGAGCTCCCACTTAGAGTTTGTTCCAAGGAAAGCTTGTCTTTCTTTTTTTTAAATTTTATTTTATTGAAGTGTGGTTGATTTACAATGTTGTGTTAATTTCTGCTGCAGAGCAAAGTGATTCAGTTATACATATATATATTCTTTTTTTTAATATTCTTTTCCATTACGGTTTATCATAGGATACTGAATATAGTTCTCTGTGCTATACAGTAGGACCTTGTTGTCTATCCGTTCTATATACAAAAGCTTACATCTGCTGACCCCAACCCCCCTTCATCCCTCCCCCACGTCCCCTCCCCCTTGGCAACCAGAATTCTGTTCTCTATGTCTGTGAGTCTGTTTCTGTTTCGTAGATAAGTTCATTTGTGTCGTGTTTTAGATTCCACATATAAGTGATATCATATGGTATTTGTCTCCTCTTTCTGACTTACTTCACTTTGTATGATCATTTCTAGTTGCATTGTCTTTCTTTTTAATGGGGTTACTAAGCAGAGGTTTTAGAGGGTCCATCCCATCCCATCAAGTGTTGAAAGGCAGGTTTGGGCTTTGGGGAGCTAGAAGGACAGGATGTTAGATACCCAGGAGGTTGAGACAGACGGAGGGTTGAGCAGGGGGTCCACCTCACTGAGCCAGGGGCTGCAGAACTGGGGAGGTCTGGAAGGACAGGGACACAGGGACAAAGGGGACAACAGGTGAAGGGACAGAGACTCAGGAAAGCATATCATGGGGTGGAAAGCGCTGGAATGGGGGAGTTGGAAAGCCTGGTTCCAGGCCAGCTCCTGACTCACCTCGTGACCTCTGACAGGTCACAGTCACAGGTGGGACACTCTGGGAGGGGGGCCCCTGGGGACCCCTCAGCATAACAGCCTGGCAGAGCCAGGGCACTGGGGGGAGCGGACTACAAAGCATTTACAACAGGGGCCTCAGCCAACCCCAGGGAAGCTCGGGAACTGAGGTGGCCCTTCAGGGACGTCCCCCATCGAGGCAGGGGCCGGCCTTCACACCCCGACCTGGACCTGTCATTGGGCTCCAGCTTGTGCAAGGCAGCTTCCTTCAGCTGAGAGCAGTTCCCAGCAAGGGCGAACCCAGCTGAGAGCCACCCGCACTGGTGGCAGCTGGGGAGCAAGTGCCTGGGTCCACCAGGGGTTCCGGAGGACACACCGCAACACCCTCTATACCTCCTTTCTCTGACCTCCGGTACACAGGTGTCAGACTAGACAGGGCTCTATCTCAAAAACCTGTGAATCTGCTGTGGTCTCAATGCCTGGGGCCACCCTGTCTGGCCTAGGAGAGGGCAGTGGTGCCAGAGTCATCTCCGACGACTCCGGTGGGGCTTTGAGCCGCGCCCCGACCTCCCCGGGTGGGGCTAGGGGAGCCGAGGGCGCCCCCGCTGCCCGCTGAGTCCCGCCTCCTTCCAGCCGACCTGTTCGACATCCTGCTGCCCATGCTCAACATCTACCAGGAGTTCGTCCGCAACCACCAGTACAGCCTGCAGATCCTGGCGCACTGCAAGCAGAACCGCGACTTCGACAAGCTGCTGAAGCACTACGAGGCCAAGCCCGACTGCGAGGAGAGGACGCTGGAGACCTTCCTCACCTACCCCATGTTCCAGGTGTGCCCGCCCCGTCTGCCAGGGCGCATGCGCGGGAGAGCTGCGGCCGACTGGGGGCCGGGGCGCAGAGTGCCGAGGGCCACGGCCGTGCAAACCCCCGGTGGCCTGGAGAACGAACGGGGTTAGGACCCTCCGCCGACCCTGGCTGGGGGAGGCCGTGCAGGAAGTGAGGGGCAGCTCCTGGTCCTGAGTCCATCTCCAGGTCCTGCCTTCTGCGGGGCAGAACCTCAAGCTCTGGACTCTCGTCCCAGACAAGACCCTGGAAGAGCCTCCAAGTTGAGAGTCTGGGATCAGAAGTGCAGTGGGTGTCCTTCCTCAGCCCCGCTCATGGGGGTCCTCGGAGCTGAGAGCCCCCTTCTCTGCCCACCCTGCCCCCCCATCTGTCTACCCTGCTCTGTCTCTCCATCTCTCTCTTGCTTCATCGCTGTCTCTCTCGCCCTGCCTCTGTCTCTCTGGCCCTCTGGCCCTGTCCCCGCCTCTCCCCACTGCAGATCCCCAGGTACATCCTGACGCTGCACGAGCTCCTGGCCCACACCCCTCACGAGCACGTGGAGCGCAACAGCCTGGACTACGCCAAGTCCAAACTGGAGGAGCTGTCCAGGTGAGCCCCGCTGGGGTCCCAGCCGGTGGGCAGGCCCCGGCTGAGGGTGCCCCCACCCGGGGTTTGCCGAGCCCCAGATGGGAAAAGCTCGTGCTCCGGTTAGGATTCCGAGGTGGGGGCACCCACAGCTTGTCCCACCTGGAAGCCGGGTCCCCAGGAGCAGTCTGAGGGGTTTACAGCTCCAGCCCAGGTGGGCACCCAGTGAGATAGGATGCGGTGTACGCTGTCCCTGGTACAGATGGGGTCCGAGGAAGGGCCCTGGGCACTTAGTGGGCCCATCTCCCAGGTCAGGGATCTGCCCAGGACTCGCAGGCACTCTCTGCCCATTTCCTCGGTTCTCCAGTGTCCGTGTGTCAAAACCGGTGGCTTTAGGAGCCCCAGGGGTCCTGGGTGTCGGGCTTTCATGTGCCCCAGGCTCCGTTCAGCAGCAGGCAGTGTCCGTCGGGGGACAGGCCGTGGTTGGGCTACCGTCAGAGGCCGCAACCCCCCCTAGTCAAGGCCCTCCCCTGTCCTCCCTCACTCCCCGAAGCCCAAGGAATTCCTCGCTGCACGGGCAGGAGCTAAAGGACTGGAGGGAGGCACTGCCACAGTCCAGGCAACAGGGGACACGGCCACACCAGGGGGTGGCCGTGGAGGTGAGGACTCTGGAGTTTTCTGAAGGTGGAACCTCCAAGAGTTTCTGATGGATGAGAGGTGAGGAGAGAGAGAGAAAATGAGAGTCGAGGGTGATTCCAGAGTTTTCTGCCAAGCAGCCAGAAGGATGCATTGCCGTTGTGCAAGATGGAGAAGGCGCCAGAGGGGCAGGTTTGGAGGCGGGCGTCTTCCTCGCCGTGTTGGAGTTTTACTTGGGGGTGTGTTGGACCTGAGATGGACAACAGCGGTGGAAATGACAAGAAGGGAGTCGGTGTTTGAGTCTGGAGTTCAGGGAGCCAAGATATACCCGATCGTCAGCTCGGAGATGGTGTTTAGAGTCACAAGGCTGGTGAGATCACCAAGGGAGTGAGATTAGGCGGGAATGAGGTATGAACCAAGGGCTGAGCCTGGGGCCTCCACCGGTGCAGGCCAAGAGGTAAGGAGGGGCCTTGTGGTCAGAGATAGGAGGCCAGGAGCTGCAAAGGAGGATGGGTCTGCAGGGTGTGGGGTTCAGCCCTCAGCCCTGCCCGGGGCCCTGCCGGCCACTCAGAGCCCTAAAAGGCTGCCCAAGTCCAACGAGTGGCAGCCGGTGAGGCCATGGTTCCCAGCTGGACAGAGGGAGGACCAGGGCAGGGCACAGGCCCCAGAGCGCAGGATTAGGGAGGAGATGTAATCAGGGCGTGATTGCAGACAAACAAAAGCATCACGGGGCGTGGACCCCAGTTCTCTCATGCCCCAGGGAGCCAGATCCTGCGTACTCTTCCCCAAGCAGAAGACTTGGGACCCCCTTGAGGCTGTGAGTTCCTCGACACCGCGGGATGCCCTGTCCCAGTGCAGGCAGGTGTGCAGGCAGCACCCCAATCCCCTCCCCCCCCCCACCCCGGGTCCTGGGTGTACAGCCTGCTTTTCTTTTGTCCCCCTGATCACCTGCACCTGGCCCTGAACCCAGCCCGAGCAGCACAGAAAAGGGTTTTCCCATCACGTGACAAGGGCCCTTTCTTCCTCCTGGCGCCCTCCCCTGGGCCCTGAGGAAAACTCCAGCCCTGACAGGAAGCCAGCAACCAAGCCCTCCCTGGCAGTGCTCAGAACCCTGCACCCCTCTCCCCTCGGGACTGGCTGTCTCCTACCTCTGGCCTTTGTCCCACTTTGTCTCCGGAGCCCCTAACTCCTGGGCTCACTGATAACCCAGGTCCTCACTTCTGGTTCCCCCAGGAGCCTCAGGCCCCGGAACCCCGGGCTGCCTTCCTGGAGCCCCGCCCAGCACCCCCAGCTGCGCGTGCAGTGGCGGCCCCTCCAGCACAAATCCCAGCCTGGGGCCACTGACCCTGAGCAGCTGAAGTTTATCCATGTCTAACAGCAAAACTAGTTTTGCTACTTTGGAATCACCCCCTTCTATTTTAGCAAATCTAGCCTCAGCAAAGTCCCCACCCTCATCAAGAGAGAGGGTCCTGATTGCCTTGGACTACTTCCAAAAATGAATCCCTATCCGTGGAACTGCAGATGCCCTGAAAGGTGCCTCCCTGTCCCATGTCTTTTCCAGAGGAAGGCTAAGGCCTGGGCTTCTGAGAAGAGCATCGCTGGGGCCCGGGTGGGAGGAGGGGCATGTGGGTGGAGAGCCGTGGCTCCCAGGGCAGAGACCGCATCTCGATGCCCCAGTCTGATACCCAGAAGAAATAACGAGTCACAGTACACCACTTATGTTTTTTTTACAATACCATTTTTGCAGCCCTGATAGTGGCAATGATCACCACCCTTTATTCCAGCCCCTGTCATGTGCCAGGCATGAGGTCAGCCCATGAAATGCATTATTTTCCATCCTCACCCCAACAGTCTACAGATGGGGAGAGTAAGAATTAGAAGGGTTGAGTAATTTGTTCAGCATCGTGTTGATTCCAGTAATCACAGCTCCAGCTCCACCAGTGTCATCTCTCATTGTTGGAGGGTTTAAACTGGATAATGACTGTGAGAGAACTCTGTAAGCCACACACACATTAATCAGCTCTCTTAGTGGTCTTAATTGTGGAATTTCATGCATCAGCAGACAAATAGGAGGCTTTGTGCTTTCCTTAGAGTAGGTGGGGTACTTTTTCCAGACCCCTCCAAAAAAAAAAAAAGGATTCACTACTTTCCTAAGACTCCTGGAGACCCATCCAGGGTCTTAGCAAAGTTGGCAGTTCACACCTACCTTTTCCCACCAACGCTCTTTAAAACAAAAACAAAAACAAAAACAGTTAAACAGTGCCACCTCCTGGAGAGGAGAGGTGTTGCAGCAGTCAGAACAAGGACAAAACGTTGTCTGTATTCTCCGATGAAGGGGTGAGCTGTGTCCTGCTTACTTCCCGGTCGTGCCAGAGCCTATAGAAGTAAACTGAAGTCAGTCTTCCCCTGAGCCAGCTGGATTGCCAGGTGCTCCAAAAATAAGCCATTCCAGAACCCAAACATTAAGGAAACAACCCTTTAAAGAGTGTGTAGGGGGAAGAAACAGCAAGTACTAATTGCCCCGAGGCAGGAATGAGCTTGGTTCGTACTTTGGATGGAAATAAGGCCAATAGTGGGATGAGGGGCAGGGTAATGAACAAAGGTTGTCCCCTCTACTCCCATCTTCCTCCAGTTCTGCTGTCTCTCTTCCATGTGGTTCAGACTTTTTTTTTTTTTTTTGCGGTACACGGGCCTCTCACTGTTGTGGCCTCTCCCGTTGCGGAGCACAGGCTCCGGACGCGCAGGCTCAACGGCCATGGCTCACGGGCCCAGCCGCTCCGTGGCATGTGGGATCTTCCTGGACCGGGGCACGAACCCGTGTCCCCCTGCATTGGCAGGTGGACCCTCAACCACTGCGCCACCAGGGAAGCCCCAGACTTTTTTTTCAAGTTTATTTCAGCTTCACAATCATTATTGGTAATCACGTGCCAATTTTTAAAAAGTTTTTATTTTATTTATTTATTTATTTGGTTGGGTCTTAGCTGCAGCACGCATGTGGGATCTAGTTTCCCAACTAGGGATCGAACCCAGGACCCTCTGCCTTGGGAGCGTGGAGTCTTAACCACTGCGCCACCAGGGAAGTCCCCGGTTCAGACTTTTTAAAATCAGACAGACCTGCTTCTCAGCCTCCTTGGGCTGTCAGAGGATAAAATGAGATCACGCCTGTAAAGTGCACACACACAGCGGGCACTCAAGAGATGCGCGCTCTCTCCCCTTTCATGACAACAGGTTCCACCTGAGAATCCAGGCTTTCTCCCGGGGTCTAGCCAGAGACCCAGCATTCCCTCCACCCTGGGAGGTGAGGGTAGCCTGTCTCTGATTGTCGTTTCCTGTCCCCACAGGATAATGCACGACGAAGTGAGTGAGACAGAGAACATCCGGAAAAACCTGGCCATCGAGCGCATGATCATTGAAGGCTGTGAAATCCTCCTGGACACCAGCCAGACCTTTGTGAGACAAGGTATGGCCCGTGCGCCCCGCCTCTCCCACCCACCACCGGGCTGGCCCCAGCAGCGAGAGGCACGCGGCACTCAGGACGCCACCAGTGGGTTGGGCTGCTGCGTGCCAAAACCTGCGAGCGTGATCGCAGAGTATTCCGGGCCTGCGGGGGGAATGCGACAGCTACATGTGCATGTCGGTATCTATAGATATCGATGCTGGTATTATTGGTTTTCACAGTTTCCTTCTCCCCAGATGTAAACATAATTCTTCCCAGATGGTCTTGGTTTGTCTATTGTACATCATAGTAAAACATTGACATGTCCTTTTGGGGAGGGAGTAGGGGGCGGAGGATGAGGACAGATTCCAATTGGCCCCATGAATCACAAGCATTTCCAGGGTCCGAGATGGAGTTGGCGTGGGTCAGTCCCTCTGTCCTTTGCTCGGCATCCTTCGCCTCTTGGGGGAGGCCGTGGTCCCAGTGGTCCTGGGTAGGGTTCCCTTCACCCTTGGGCCTCGGCTGACCTTGGGGACAGTTTTGAGGGTCACAGCCCTATTGAGAGGGGCAGGAGAGGCTCTCTGTGGCCCAGGGGACTGACTTCCAACTCGGGGATGTCAGAGCTGCGATGCCTTGAAGGTTCAGATTCCATGTCCTATGGGAAACTCAGCTTGTGCTCGCGTGCCCTAGAGGTGACTCCACCTCAGGATGGACCTCCCGCCTTCCTTCCGTCGAGTTGGGGTTCTCTGACTAGATGAAGAGCTTCCCAGCACCTCCTGCTGGCCTGTGCAGCTGCCTCTGGCCCCCGCTGCCCTTGGCCTGAGTATCCTCAATGTGGAGTTTGTTCTGAGCCCCTGTGTCCTTCCCACAGGCCCCCCCTGGGACCTGCTGAGCCCAGAGCCAGCCTAGCCTGACTCCCAGCTCCCCCTGAGCTGTGCTGTGCCCAAGCTGGAGGTGGCCGGAAGAATGACCTATCTTGGGGTCAGCAGTGTCCCCAGAGACCAGGAATCTGCTCCATCACCCTGAGCCAAAGCAGTTCTTCCCCTCCTGAGGGTGGGGAAGATCAGACAGGGGAACCCAGCGAGCCCTTTCTCATTTATTCAGTCGTGCTGCCACCACCAAGGACACCTGCCCTATTCATGCCAGGCCAATTCAGGTCTCCAGGGACGCCCAGAGAATAGACTCTGCCCCGCCCTCCAGAATTGACTGTGCAGGGGAGAGGGAGTCAGGATACAGGAAAGGGTTCTGTGCAGTGATGAACGTGGGCAGGAGGCAGATGGTGGCCCAGAGCAGGGCTGGGGAGAGTCAGGGAGGGCTTCCCGAAGAGGCGGCACTGGGCTCTGCAGCAGAGCGTGCTGTGACCAGTCGGTCACGTCTGCGGTGGCTGCATGTGACAGCAGGTGCCCAGTGGATCTTGTTCATCCCTCTGGGCCAGAGCCAGCTCCCCGCTTGTTCAACCTCCTGCCACCCCCAGACCTCAGCCCAGCCCTGCATTCTCACCTCATGGGCCATGTCCTGTGGGGTTCCTTTGCTCTCCAAGGCTCTGGCCCTGGCTGGGAGGTCAAAGGTCCTGCATGGAGCTTCTCTCGTCATTCTCCACCCCCCAAACCCCACCACCCGGCCCTGAGGAGGGGCTGGAGGGAGGGTCCAAGGTGCGTGTTCGCTACCAAGAAGTAGGATTGCCTTGTCCCACTGCCCTGGCTGCTGGCATCGCAACCCCACCTGCAGCCTCAAAGCCAGGTCAGAGGCGGAGGGTCATTCTAGTAGATGCACTCAGGCTCTCTCTCCTCCATCCGCAGGCTCCCTCATCCAGGTGCCCATGTCTGAAAAGGGCAAGATCACCAGGGGGCGCCTGGGGTCTCTGTCCCTAAAGAAAGAGGGCGAGCGACAGTGCTTCCTGTTTTCTAAGCATCTGATCATCTGTACCAGAGGCTCTGGTGGGAAGCTTCACCTGACCAAGGTAGGGACGGCGGGAGCGAAGCTGCTGGGGCTGGAGGTCAGACACCGCCTTTACCCTAGGGGTCCCGACTGACCCTGACCGCGGGGCCCAGGGTGGACCAGGGTGTCAGAGACGCGTGAGTGTGCACGCATGCGCCCCGGTCTAACTGGCGGCTTGGAATGAGAAGGCCACTGACGGATTTTCTACTGGAGAAATCGTGGGAAATGGGAAAGCGAGCACAAAGACCCCTCAAGGAGCCCCCAGAGTTGGGGGCTGGGGCAGAGGAGCCAGGGAGTCCAGACAAGACCTTCAAAGGCCCGTGTACGTGTATCTAAGGGGCCGGGGAGGATGGTGGCACCTGGCTGAGGGCAGAGCAGCAGCCAGAGCCTTTGTCTCATTTCCAGCCAAAAAGAGCTCAGAGGGCTTCCCTGGTGGCTCAGTGGTTGGGAGTCCGCCTGCCGATGCAGGGGACACGGGTTCGTGCCCCAGTCTGGGAAGATCCCACATGCCGCAGAGCGGCTGGGCCCGTGAGCCACGGCCACTGAGCCTGCGCGTCCGGAGCCTGTGCTCCGCAACGGGAGAGGCCCGCGTACCGCAAAAAAAAAAAAAAAAAAAAAAACAGAGCTCAGACAGCGCCCCCTCTTGACGCCCTTGGGCACTCACTCTGCCAGCACAAGACTCTGCACCCCCGGCAGAATCTCCTGCTCCCCGGCACAGCACACGGCTTATCCCGCTGCTGTGAGCTCACGATCCGGTCCCACCTCTGTCTGCTACATATGTGTGACCCTGGAAACGTCCCGCGCCTGTTCACACCTCACTTCCTCATCTGCAAAACAGGGATGACTGTCCTCAGCAGAGGCGTGCACAGATGCAGGCAGGTGCCCGTAAATCTGCTCTGGGAAGTATGAAGCCCTTGCCTCTGTAAGCGACAGTCTCCCCGGCACTGCGTCCATCCCGTGGAAGCTCGCTTCTGAAGATTTTAAATCTGAACGCGCTGTGGCCTGGAAAGGGCCAGAAGGTGCCCTTAATTAAGCCAGAGCATCAGGGAAACCGTTCTTCCAGACCCTGGATGCCTGGCCCGTAACCTCCTGCAGAGCTAATTGATCAGGCAGTGGCTTCAGGGAATATACTGCTTATGTTAACATGTCAACACATTAGTTGGTCGGCTGCACAAGGGGCAATTAATTTACAAACACTGAAGACTCCAGTTTCAACCAAATTATGTATCAAGGAAAGCCTTCATTATTTACTAGCTCTGGAGTTTCTCCTGGGAAGATCTCTGTCCAGGCTGGGGGGACGGTTCCCCCAGCAGGTGGGGGTCAGTAGGGGCAGGTTGAACTGGAGACTTCAAGACGGCTTTTTAGTCTGAAAGCACGTGCTTTTATGTTTGTTAGTTTTATCTTATTTTGGTTTGGGGGGTTGTTTATTTGTTTGTTGGAGTTTTCAAAGTCTCTTAGCATATTGGTAAAGAGCATGGAATCTGAGAGCTACTCAAATTCTAGCCCTGCCACTTACCAGTGGGTGACCTCACCAAGCCTCAGTTTACTTACCTGCAAAATGGGAGTGAATGGCTTCCCTGGTGGCGCAGTGCTTAAGAATCTGCCTGCCAATGCAGGGGACACAGGTTCGAGCCCTGGTCCGGGAAGATCCCACGTGCCACGGAGCAACTAAGCCCGTGCGCCGCAACAACTGAGCCTGCACTCTAGAGCCCGCGAGCCACAAGTCCTGAGCCTGCATACCACAACTACTGAAGCCCACGTGTCTAGAGCCCGTGCTCCACAACACGAGAAGCCACCGCAATGAGAAGCCTGCATACCGCAACGAAGAGTAGCCCCCGCTCGCTGCAACTAGAGAAAGCCCGCACGCAGCAACGAAGACCCAACATAGCCAAAAATAAAATAAATAAGATAAATAAATAAATTTATTTTTTTTTTTAAATGGGAGTGAAAATACCTACTTCATGGGAGTGCTATGAGACTTAAGTGAGGAATTGGATGCAAAACTCGTGGCCCCATGCCTGGTACATAGTAAGTGCTCAACAGGTAATAGTCGTTGTCACTCTTAATTATGTAGTATGAACTGTACTAATAATAATAATAGCAAGCCTTTGCATGATGATTACTATGAGCCAGGCACTAGCCCAAATACATCATGTATTTTGTTTGTTTGTTTGTTTGTTTGTTTGTTTGCGGTACGTGGGCCTCTCACTGTTGTGGCCTCTCCCGTTGCAGAGCACAGGCTCAGCGGCCATGGCTCACGGGCCTAGCCGCTCCGCGGCATGTGGGATCTTCCCGGACCGGGGCACGAACCCGCGTCCCCTGCATCAGTAGACGGACTCTCAACCACTGCGCCACCAGAGAAGCCCCATCATGTATATTTAATTCACAGAACAACCCACGGAGGCAGATGACTGTTACTTTCCCTACTGTATAAATAAGGGAACTGAGGCTTCTAGAAACAGCCAGCAAGTGGCAGAGCAGGGATTTGAACCCAGGCAGTCTGGCTCCAGAGTCTGTGTTCTGAAACCAAAGCTAAAATTCAAACCACTTCTTGTTAAATACTGCCATTGGAAATCGAATGCCTTCAGTCCTCCTAAAAGGGACCTGCTACAACTCCCCAAGATCTAAAACTACCATAAGAATTTTTGGGGACTTAAAGTAAGAGAAGGTTAGAGCTAGATGGGCTTTGGAGATTACCCAGCCCAGTGACATCAGTGGTCAGGTTAAGGCCCAACAAGGCCTGGGAGGCTCCCCCAGGGCCACCAAAGAACCAAACAAGAAGCAGAATGCAGGATTCGGGGGCCCACTCTTGATACTTTCTCCAGGTCCCCCTCTGCCTTCCAGGTGGCAGCCTGCCCTGCAGACATTTTCATGTATAGATTAGCCACCTGGGCAGGTTTCTGTTATTGTCAGTTATTATGTTATTTATCTGTTGCTGTCCCCCAAATGGAGTGCCTTTTTTTTTTTTTTTGGCCGCACCACATACGGCATGTGGTATCTTAGTTCCCGGACCAGGGATTGAACCCACGCCCCCTGCAGTGGAAGTGTGGAGTCTTAACCACTGGACCACCAGGGAAGTCCCCTGGAGTGGCTTAAAACAAACATTTGTTGTCTCAAACAGTTTCTGCACGTTAGGAAGTCAGGACAACTTAGCTGGGTGGACATATGTGGCCCAGGGTTTCTTATGAGGTTGCAGTCAAGGTGGCAGCTGGGGCTGCAGTCATCTGAGGCTCGACTGGGGCTGGGATCCTTTTCCAGCGTGGCTCCCACACATGGCTGTTGGCAGGAGGCCTCGTCCCTCATCTGTAGCCCTCTCCTCATGACACGGCAGCTGGCTTCCCCCAGAACAAGTGGTCCAAGAAACAACAAGAGAGCAAGCAGGAGGCTGCAGACCCCAAAGCGGAACACCATCACTCCTGCTTTATTCTCTTAATGAGGAGCAAGTCACTAAGTCCAGTTAACACTCAAGGGGAAGGGAAGTAGCCTTCACCTTTTGAAGGATGGGGTATCGGAGAATTCGTGGATGTGCTTTGCAACCAGCACAGTGGTGGTAACTTTCATTTCTCACTACAGGATCAAGGGATCTCACACCTAAAAGATGCTCAGACAATCAAGGATAAGAGGCATTTTTCCAGACATTCCTAATAATTAAAAGCCAGCCACTGACCTTGAGCTGGGAACAGGCCCATGAGGCTCTTTCCAGACTCTGCCACTTACCTACCAGGTGACCTTGGGCAAGACGCTTAACTCCCTGATTTCATTTCTTCATCTGTAAAATCGGAATAATACCTGAGACAGGTCTGTAAATTGGTCCTGTTTCCCTGTTGGTAACATGCAGGGTTTAGCCTAGAATGAGGGAGTTCAAACTTCAGACTTAGGGCTACCAGGTGATGCCTCAGAGCCACTGTAGGGCAAGAAAAGGCCGTGCAAGCCAGGTTCTAACCCCTCCACCCCCAGCCCGACCTTGGCCCTCCTTTGGGGAAGGCGTCTCTGAGCCATCCCATTTGAGCCACTTCACTGGGCTTCCTATATGGAGATAAAGTTCTTCAACTTGAAAACCAAAATGCCCACTTGGCATGTAATGTCCACACACACATGTGCGTCTAGGTGGGTGCTCACTCCTCACCCTGATATTCTGGAACTCCGAAACTAGCACCTCTCTCGCTTTGATTCAAGGTGGCCCCTGCTCTTTTTCAGAATGGAGTCATATCCCTCATTGACTGCACTTTATTGGAGGAGCCAGAAAGCACGGAGGAAGAAGGTAAGTGTGCAAGTCACGTGCAAGCCTGTGTGTGCTCACACAGACGCACGCACACTCCCCCTGAAAGGTTGGACCCGGGCATTGGTTTCTTTTCTTGCGAGAAAGGGAGGATGCTGGACCCGGAGAGGCTGGTCCTGGGTCTTTAGAGAAGGAGCTCTCTGGCCCTGCAGGTGACAGCCTCCTCCCCCTTCCTGGTTCCTTCCAAGCTCCTTGGGTCCCTGGACTCGGTGCCGTTGGGTTTGGGGGTCACACTTCTCAGTGAGCACCCCTCCTTCACGCATCAATTTGCTACATGCACAGTGGCTCACTGGGCCACGAGGAAGAGGCCGGGGAGGCACCTGGCCTATCTCTGTCCTCCAGTGGAAACGGGTGGGGTGTGCAGGGACACACGTGCCACCACCAGAGGGAGTGCTGGGGAACGGTCCCCCGCAGTGGTGTTGGAGTGACCAGGACGGGAGGCAAGACTTGGGGAGAAGGGAGCATGTGAGTGGGGCCCCAGCAAACCAGAAGGGGCTGGGCAGGGAGCTGGGGGAAGGTGGTGCCCAGGTGCTCGGAAAGCCGCCGTGTAGGGGTGTCCATGGGATCTCTCTCCCCGGGGAATCAAAATTGGGGGATGGGCTTATTATTTTAGGTGAAGGGGTAGGGTCACTACTGTCTCTTGATTGGACCAAAGTTGGTCCTCGTCTCCCTCCTTCACTGGCCCCCCAGCAAGGCTCTGGAGGCCCTCCCCTGGGGGTGCACCAGCTGGACTCACCGTCTTTGCCTTTCCCCAAGGTGGGGCTCCTCGAAGCAGGGCTGTGTCTGAAGGACCCCAGATCCCAGTCCCGGCATGGCTTGGGCTCGGGCTCAGGGTTTGCTGGGGGCTGGGGGCATAGTCCACACACACACACACACACACACACACACACACACATACACATGTGCACGCGCGCGTGCCCTGGTCAGCTGCAGCGGGAGCTGGGCTCTGCACCCTTCGTGACCCTCCACTGGGGACGGAGCCAAGCGCCCCCCCACCTCCCCCACCAAGGCAAAAATACATGTGCAGCAATTTACCTGGAGCTCTTACCAGCATGATCTTCAGTCTTGGCCACAGCTGGTCCCGATTCAAGTGGAACTGTCAGTCCCCAAAACCCTTTTCCCTCCAGGGCCACGAAAGGGAGAGAGGCGTGGCCCCGTGCATCCCCCACTCAACACACAGACACCCCACTTATGAGGAGCCAGCGTCATCCCATCCTCGAGTCACCACACGGAGCGGGCTCTCCAGTGCCCTCACATTCTCACGTGTCAGCACTGGAAGGGTCGGGGACCTCAGAGCCGTCACGCCCCACTCTGCTTGTACAGGAGGACGTCTGAAGCCCAGAGCGGGAAGGGTATCACCCCAAGGTCACACAGCCAGCAAGCAGAGACCAGAGCTGTAGCAGGCCTTCCACAACATTCCACCCCATTCAGGGGACCCCTGATGAATGTGGCCGTGTTGCAAGGAATCTCTGAACTGTGATCTTAGTCTTTCCAAATAAAGAGTTCAAGGAACCCTTCGGGTTAAGAGCAGCAATAAAAATACCTAGAATTTACTTTGGCTTTGGGGAGCTCTCAACTGAGCTAAATGTCTAGCTGGGTCCATAAAAGCTTAGGATCTAAAGTTCTCCTCCTGGCCCCTGTATCACCTTGGCGTAGCTGGAGGGCCCAGCTGTGAGGCCAGTTCTAGACCTTGCTTAGCCGCTGCCCGGCTGGGGGTCTTATAAAGTCCTCCCCGGAGACCTCAGCTCCCCGTTGGCCTAATGAGGGTAGAGCCGACTGGTGATTCCGAAAGGCTCTTCCAACGCGGCATCGGAGCTGTCCCTGTGTGGTTGTAAGCTACTCTGCGCTCTAGGTCTTAGTTTCTCCATCTTTGAAGTGGGGATTCCTCACCTTAAGAAAAAAAAAAGATGTTCTGAAACTAGCAAGTGGCCTGGTGCCCTACTGCTGCTGTCACCAGTGGGGCGAGGCAGGTATCGTGCAGTCATTTTCCAACTCAGAAAGGCCCACACTCATTCGACTAACTCCGTGTTTTGCACCTGGAAGCCAAAGGATCCGGCCAAGACATAGACCACTTGGATTTTAAGATCGGGGTGGAACCAAAGGATTCCCCGCCCTTCACAGTCATCCTCGTGGCCTCATCCAGACAGGAGAAGGCGGCGTGGACCAGTGACATCAGCCAGGTGAGCGGCATCACTTGTCCTTGAAAGCAGGTGGTCCCTTCATGCCGAAGCTGGTGGGGGGCGGGAGGCAGCTACAGGGTTCTAATGGAAAAGACGTGAGTATCTCTGCCAACCAAGGCTGAGCCCAGCTAGCTGTCCAGCTCGCAGAGTCCCCTGGGCCCCCCGTAGAGTGTGGTCTGGGAGCCCCTTGCATCTGGATCATCCCTAGGGCAGTTTTTAAAACTCCAGATTCCTGGGCTCCCCTCTGGTCCCCTGCAGATTTACTACATCCAAGTCTCTGGCACGAGGCCTGGGAACCTACGTTTCGGCACACGCCCCAGGCCATTGGTACCACAGAAAAGTCTGAGCACCGTGACCCAAGGGTGCTGGATGTAGCAGAGCCAGGAGAGAAAGCAAAGGGCCCGCAAAGCCCGGAGTCCGCTCTGCAGGAGGGAAGGTTTGCCTGCGCCAGCGTTAGGGCCCCACTGGGAGAGTCACAGGAAGCACAGACCTCCCAGGGACCAGAGAGCAGACCCAGAGGGCTGCGGTCACTTGCAGGACCAGGGCAGAGGTCTGAGTCTGGAAAGAGGCTGTCGGCAGCACCGGGCTGCTGGCCCAGGACAGGCCTCTCCTTGGGCCCAGCCAGGGCCTGCAATGGGTCAGCCCAGCCCCGTCCCAGGAGCACAGGAACCTCTCCGGACCGCCTGCTCTCTGCACAGTGGAGGAGAGTATTAGGAGAGCAGCTGATGGTGGGAGGAAGGGGGCAGCGAGGCTGGAGATGTCCCCCTTTTGGGGGAGGGGGCCTGGGAGCTGTGTTTATGGAGAACTAGGGGGCAGAGCCTTTACTGTATTTCAGGGCAGTCCCCCCACTCACTCTCTGCCCCTCATTTTTAGGCCTCACACCTGGGCTGCCCTGCCTGCCCAGCGTGCCGCCCCGCAGTGTGGCAGGGTGAGGACAACTAGTAGCAGACGTCTGCTCTTTCTCAGTCTTGCCCTCCCAGCTTCAAACAACCAGCGTGAGGGCTTCCCTGGTGGCGCAGTGGTTGGGAGTCCGCCTGCCGATGCGGGGAACGCGGGTTCGTGCCCCGGTTCCTGGGGGATCCCACATGCCGCGGAGCAGCTGGGCCCGTGAGCCATGGCCGCTGAGCCTGCGTGTCCGAAGCCTGTGCTCCGCAACGGGAGAGGCCACAACAGTGAGAGGCCCGCGTACCACAAAAAAAAAACAAAAAACAAAATAAAAACAAACAACCAGCGTGCCCCGGAGAAAACCGAAAAACTGGAAGGCTCAAGCATGGCCTTTTCTAGTCCTCAGGGAGCCATCAAAGGCTCAGGGCTGCTCGCCTGGAGGGTACCCCCCGGGCCTGTGTCCTCTTGAGGGCTGCATTGCTGATACCACCAGGCGTCAGGGCCCCCCAGGCCCACTGATGCCTCCAGGCAGCTCTGATCGGTGGCCAGGCGAACCAGAGCTAAAGAGAGTCTCAGAGTGTGCAGGTGGAGAAAGTGGGCTGGGAAGGGCCACTGACACAAGCCTTCCTCTGGGGCCCACGAAAAACTAGGGGTCCTGGCCCTGACCCACTGTGCCCGCCTCTCTGCTCTCACTTCCCGGTGACCTTGGCCCCTACCCGCACGTACATATCCTCAAAACCAGAAGATACTGTGATGTGACCCTGCAGAGTATCCCATAGCCCAGGCCAAGGAGAGACCCTCTCTTGGCAGAAATGTGAGAGCTTGGAGCAGGGGGCAATGAGAAGGAAAAAGTGATGTATCTCTGAGTCTTTTCTTTTTGTTTGGGTGTATACTGTTTATTCAAAGAAAGATTTGGATTTTGAATTTTTTTCAGAGGCTGAGTAAAATGTACAATCTCCTCCCTTAGTGCTGGCAGCCTTGCCACCCCCAGGCAGGATTTTTACTATGGAAAACCGTCTGTGGCTTCAGGATGTGGGCACTGTGGTGAGCAGAGGACGGGGGTGGGCAGGACGGCACCCGCTGAGCCGGCCTCCCAGGACAGAGGCCCCAGGTCACTGTGGATCTGATCTTGTCCTCGCTGCTGGACCTCAGAGGTCAGCCACAGAGTGGCCAGGGTCGGACACTTCCATTTTTGCAAACAGCCCGAGGAGGTAGGAACAATTATCCCCATTTTGCAGGTAGGGAAACTAAGGCCCAGGGAAGTCGAGTACATCCCCAAAAGGTCACCGAGCTGGGGACTTGACTTCGCATCAGAACCCAAGGGATGCTGTGCGTTGACCCTGCCCTTGCCTGGACGACGCCCTTTGACCTTGCATCAGGCCGGGGCCTGCGCAGCCTCGCTCGGCAGAACCGCCGCTGGGCCTGGGTCTCGGAACGGAGACGGAGGCTCTGACCCGGGGGTCCTCTCTCTGATTCCAGTGTGTGGATAACATCCGGTGCAATGGCCTCATGATGAACGCATTTGAGGAAAATTCCAAGGTCACTGTGCCGCAGATGATCAAGTAAGTGCCCTGAGCCCCCTCTTGTCTGGGCTGAGCTCCAGAGACTGAGGGCCACACAGTGACCACGAGGGGCTCGGACGATGCCGGGGTTCATCTCTGGGGTGTGTTAGGTGTTTGATTTCAGTTAACTTCTATTTGGTTGATGGCTTTGGTTTAGTTTTTGTAGTTGTTTGTCTTGAAAATGTGGATTTTCGTATTAGGCTGTTTAAAGTGGAACATCAGGAATGACATTTCATGCACTCTGTTTTTTTTAATAACTATTTTTCTTTTGTTTGGGCAATGCCAGGGAGGCAGGGCGAGGGGGCTGCCATCCTGCTGAGCTCAGTTCTCTGAGCCCCGCCGGGCAGCGCAGCCTCCTGGCCTGCACCAGCCCTGCTTCTCCTCCAGCATCTGCTCGCCTGACCCCCTCACGGTGCCCCCCAGGTGGCCCACTGGTTCCCTGGCCTCCATCTGAACCGCTGAATTCCCGGCTGCTCTGCCCACCTGGCATACGCCAGGACCCAGCTAACCGACCCCAGGCGTGTTGTCCTGCCCAAAGCAAACCTTGGGGACCCACTGCCTCTTTGCTACTTGAAGTGCACACTCGGGGGAACTGCAGGCCATTATGTAGTGAGGGTGTGAAAGGTCCCACCCACCCCGTTTCGACAGCAGGCCTGATGAAGCGAGCACGCCAGCAGCTAGGAGCTAGCCCAGGCAGGGTCGTGTATGCCAGAGCTTTCAAGCATCCGGCTGAGTTTATGAGGAGTAGCCCCACCCCACCCCATGGCTACATTGTTTAACAGCCGAAGGTGCTGGAGCCCAGAAGGAAGGTCTGGACTTGAAGGCACAAGCCCTGGCCCACAGCTTCTGCTCTGTGTATGACTATGGACAAGTCACTTAACATGTCTGAGCTTGGGTCTCTCACCTGTTATTGGGAGATGATAACACCCACCTGCCTACCTCCTGGATTTGTTTCAACGATGAATTTAAAAAACCACATGTAGAATGATGGTTAAATGTATAGTGGGTACCTACTTATCTTCTGCAAAGAGTGCGTATTGAGGCAGTAAAAGTGAGCAGATGAAACCAAAATAAACTCACCCGTGAAAGAAAAAATAACAGCATTTTAAACTATGATGGTGATAAAGGGAATGGAATATCCAGGTCAAAGTGACAACTCCAAGGACCTGTCGGCTCCCAGATTTAAGCGTGGCCTCCTTGGCAGGAGTAGCCCATGGGCAGCGTCCCACTGCGAGGGCGCCAGGGAGCAGAGATGAGCAGACGTGGCCTCCGTCCTCAGGGAGTTCTCCATTTAGTGAGAGAAAGAGACACATAGAACTCGTAAAACGCTAGCGGGTGCTACAGAATAGAATTTGTATGATGCTACGAACGAGTGTTCAGAGAATGAGTGACTCGTTCACCTGGCACAGCTGGGGAAGACTTTCCCAAGAAGAGGACATCAGAACTGACCTCAAAGGATAAGTTAGGATTTGCTAAATGGAGGGAGGGGGAAGGGCATCCTGGGAAGAGGGAACAGCATGTGCAAAGACGCAGAGGCAGCGAAGCTCATGGTGTGTTTGGGGAATGATAAAACGTTCCATGGGGCTGCAGTGTTGGGAGAGTGGTATGTCCTGGGGGAAATAACCTTAATGCAATTGTGGCCTCCAAGTTCACTACCAGATAAACTCTCCCAGAGGTCTTGGAACAGAAAGGCTCGCAGACCCAATTAAGATGCTTAACCACACAGTCTAGTGAATCAATTTTAAACACTTAGTGAGAAACCAGGGGAAGGAGAAAGGATAGTAAGTTAGTGCCTGTTACACGTAGTTGCATGAGCTAGTTACACCGTGGCCATGGTCCAGCCTCTCTCCCTGCCCCATCTACCTTCCTTGCTGGTGGAGCAGCTACAAGGACCAGAGTTGAAGCTTGATCAGTGGATCCAAGGGCACACGCTTGCTCTGTCTGAGAAGTCGGGGCAAGTATGTCTGGCCACAGTGGCAGCTCACCAGTTAGACTGAAGAAGACCTACAGGTTTATCTATAGTTCTGGGACGGAGGGTAGAGGGTCAGAATGGATGTCGCCAGTGGGTGGCTGACTTAAGACATGAATATTGAGTGTACGCTATGCCTCATGAATATCAAGTGTAGCTTGAATATTTGGTGCACGCTTGGTCCTTCCACCCCTCCTATTTACATCGGGCACATGAATGCTTTACTTAGTGTATATATATGCCTGCCATGGCTCACAAGCTGTTTGCTCCTTCGTCTGTCCTCTTTTTTTGTTTCTCTTATTTTTTTATAGCACAACTGTATTTTCTTAAACAATACAGCGGGCTGAAGAGGTGGGCAGGAGTCAGATAATAGTAACGTGACAGGTGAGGAGTTGGGTTTTCTTCTGTAGGTGTTAACGTTGCACCCAAGGCGGTGACGGGCGCCCCCTGGTGGCCAGGGATAAAGTGGCAACAGAGAGCCTGCCTGGAAAAAGGCATCAGTGGTATAGCTGGAGGGTCCGTGGCTGGGGGGACATTCCCTAGATGTGTTCCCCGTAAGCCTCTGAGTTTCTGGCATGGTTCCCATTTCAGATACCCCACCCTGTTGTCAGACTGAATTAAGAGCGTCCGGATTTTTGGTTTGCAATACAAAGAAACATTTAGTCCCATGCACCCTGAGTATTCCTGCTACCCTCCCGACACACTGCATCCTGGCCCTCTGGTGGGTAGATGCTAGTGGCAGCGTTTGAAAGGAAGGTCCCAGAGAATGAAGGTCATCAACCACCAGCAGCCCAAAGATCCAAGAAGTCTCATTCCATCTGCCCTGGGTCCTGAGGCTCTGCCCCAACATGTGACCTCAAGGACAGGTAGACCGAAGGCGGGGCACTCCCCCTGCAGAAGGAAGAAGAGGGAAGCCCTTTCCAATCAAGCCCAGGCCTCTCGATGCCTGGGAGACAGGAATGCCACTTGGAGTTTCATCAAGAAGTATTGGGGGGCTTCCCTGGAGGTCCAGTGGTTAAGACTTCGCCTTCCAGTGCAGCGGATATGGGTTCGATCCCTGGTCAGGGAGCTAAGATCCCACATGCCTCGCAGCCAAAAAACCAAAACGTAAAACAGAAGCAATATTGTAACAAATTTTAATAAAGACTTTAAAAATGGTCCACGTCAAAAAAAAAAAATCTCAAAAAAAAAAAAAGTATTGGGAGAGCAAAGAGAGAGGCAGGCCTGAATTCACAGTCAAGAGATGCTTGTGTTGTGAGGGACCGAAAACCCCTTCTAGCAGGGCTGGTAAATATCTAACACACGAGCCAGCCATTTGGATCAGAATCCGGAATCCGTGGCAGACATTACTAATGGGTCACGGCAGTCTTTAAGGCTGAGCCTGTAATGGTCAACACAGCCCCAGGCAGTTACTCCCAGTCTGGCAGAACTGGTATCCAGGATGAAAGCTGTTTTTATCACTGCTTTATTGTGCCGTCCCATTTTACAGATAGGGCAACTAAAGTCCAGAATAGGTTTACGTAACATCGGAGTTGCCAGAGGCACCATCACCAACAATGATTGTGAGGCTTGCGACAGAGAAGAAGGGGGCAAGGGAGGTTGATAGAAAAGGGAGGGCTTGGGACTTCCCTGGTGGTCCAGTGGTTAAGACTCCCCACTCCCAATGCAAGGGGGCTCGGGTTCGATCCCCGGTCGGAAAACTAAGATCCCGCATGCTACATGGTACTGAAAAAAACAACAAAAAAACAAAAACAATAAATAAATAAATAAAATAAAAATAAATCTTTTAAAAAAATTCCATTAACCCTTGGAAAAAAAAGAAAAGGGAGGGCTTTTCTCACTTTCTCTACCCCACTCCAGCGGCAGAAGGAGCCCAAAAAGAAGGTGCTAGAAGCAAACCCTTGCCAGAGGGGTCCAATAATCACCACTGAGGATGTCAGGTCTAGGCTGGATGCTTCGGGATCCATGGTGTGTGAGGAGTTGCACTGTCCTTCTAGAAGGTGCAGTCCCATGGTGGGGACCTGGCTTGAGTTAAGGGAGTCCTTTCACCCAAGGGCCGAGGGCAGCTCCCCAGGGATGATGCCACTGCGTCCTTCCCATCTGCAAGTACTTTCTCCTGCCCACTGTCTTTCAGTTTTGCTTCTCTGCAACTTTTCTTCTTCCTTTAGAGGTTTGTAGTCAACTGGCTGGATCCCTGTCTGTCTATTCCATGCCGCTTACATTCTCTCTCCTCACTTGAACCTCTCCACCTTCTCTGCATTCTGGGAAAATTTCTCAAGTTGGCTTCTTGTGTCACTCATTTGATTTTCTGAGTCTCTCATCTGCTGTTACTTGCATTCATGTCCTCTGATTCAACACTCTTGTCTTTCGTTTCCAAGAAATCTTTCCGGTCTCAGATGATTTCCTCTTCCTGGTTGCTTCTTGTGGTTCGGTCAATGCAATATATATTCTCCTGAATCTTGGTGAAAAATAAAACAGGTGTTTTCTAAAATGTTCTGTGTCTTGCAGCAAAGCTACCTTAGAAGGAATCATTCCTGTTTCTTCAGGATTGTCTCTTTTCAAACTGAAAGAAGAGAGACCTGTGGATGTTTAGATCCAGCTCAGCCCTCAGGTCCTCAGCCCACTATGGTCTGGTTGACCACCAGACGCCTGTCCTCACGTGTTGGCAGCCTGAGAGGAATGGGACTTGCTGCCACCAGATCCAATTTAGAAGGTCCCAGAAAAGGACTTGGATTGCTCTGGCTTGGGTTATACCCTCACCCGATGCAAAAATCACTTTGGCCAGAGATGAAGGACTTTGATAGATCTAATCCAGGATGACTGCTCAGCCCTGAGGGTTTCCCTTTTAGTCCAGCTGATGTGACGCAGGCTATGTTAATTGACCTAATACTTTAAGAAGCAGCCGAGGTGAGGTCAAGGAGGAGATGACCTCCCTCTACAAAGACTGAGAAGGTTGAATAAACTGCTAAGGATTCTGCCCTGCCTTGGCACAGGGGCCGGAGGTGTAGCTCTTCATAACTAAGGGAGGAGAGATGTCAGCAGATTGCCGGCAGCAGGAGCCACTAGTAACAAAAATGTGTAAGACTTTTAGACTTAGAAAAAAAATTAGACCTTTGGGGATTGAATTAAGCTATTCATCATATCTGCTGACACTTGCTCATGTAGTTTTTAATTTTGGATTGTGAGCTTATTTTCAGTGGGGGGTTATCTTTGAATGTCTTGTAGAGCCTGGTTGACAGATGCTCTTCCTGAAAGGTCTTGCATTTTTTCCACCAGTTGCCCCAGGAGCATTACATCCTGTGACTACACTAATACTCTTTGGGCTTCCCAGACCACAAAGATAGTAGGTATTTGTCTTCCAAAACCACTGGAAGGGCAAATAATACACTCTCAAGGGAGCTTGACACTCTCCCCATGCTTCCCCCCTCACAGCCTGGGCTAAAACAGAAAACTTGCAATCTTCCTTTCCTGGTGGGTAGATTTTTCTAGGCCCCCTTTCACTGAGCCTCTAACCCTTCAAGGGTCCCAGCTTTCCATGGGGGTCTCACTCCAACTCCCTCCACCCGCAGGCCCAGGCCTGGTCGACTTCTCTGTTGAAACCAAGGCGCTTGGTTTCCAAGAGCAACAGATGCCCTAGAGGCAGCTGAAGCATCAACTGGTTTCCAAATTTCTCTTCATTTTTGGCCCCTGGAAATGTCCCGTATATTTTTTGCCCCTAGTTGTTTTTTTTTTTTTATTGAGATATAATTCATATAACATAAAACTCACCGTTTGAAAGTGTACAATTCAGTGGATTTTACTCTATTCACTGTGTTGTGCAACCATCCCCACTGTCTAATTCCAGAATATTTCCATCACCCCAAAAAGAAACCCATGCGTATTAGCAGCCACTTCCAGTTCCCCCCCTATTTCTACCCCCTGGCACCCACCACTCTACTTTCTGTGTCTATAGATTTGGCTCTTCCGGATATTTCGTATAAATGAAATCCTACAATGTGTGGACCTTTGAGACTAGGTTCTTTCACCTAGCATGTTCTCAGGAGTCATCCATGTTGTAGCATATATCAGTATTTCATCCCTTTTTATGGCTGAATAGTATTCCATTGTATGGGTAGATCACATTCTGTTTATCCTTTCATCAGTTCATAGACATTTGGGTTGTTTCCACTTCGGGGCAATTATGAATAACGCTGCTCTGAATATGTGTGTCCGTGCTTTTGTGTGAACGGACTTTCTTCATAGCTTGGGAACGTGGCAGCACATTATTTTTAAGTTCGTTATATTTCATCCAGCATTTCTAAGAGTTTTATAATGTCAGGTCTTCAGGTATTACTGGGAAAAAGAAGTTGCAGCCCATTTTTCCTCAACGTCAGTCTTCCAAAGCTTTCCTTGTTCCCGTCACAAGCCACCCCGTCCTTCATCCGTCCCTCCATCCTTGGCTGTTGGTGCGCTGGGGAGACAGTGATGGGTGTGCCGTGGTCCAGCCCTCGGCGAGCTCGCAGCCCGGTCGGGGAGACAGCCACGGACTCGGACACCTTCAGACCCAAGTGCCTTCTCGGTCCCTCCTCCCTCCTCAGGTCCGACGCCTCCTTATATTGTGATGACGTGGACATTCGCTTCAGCAAAACCATGAACTCCTGCAAAGTGCTGCAGATCCGCTATGCCAGCGTGGAGCGGCTGTTGGAGAGGCTGACGGACCTGCGCTTCCTGAGCATCGACTTCCTCAACACCTTCCTGCACTCCTATCGCGTCTTCACCACCGCCGTCGTGGTCCTGGACAAGCTCATCACCATCTACAGGAAACCCATCAGTGCCATCCCCGCCAGGTGGGCAGGCCTCCTCCTCCCGGGCTGACCCGCACAGCTTCTGGGCCCAGGAGGGAGACAAAGCTCGGCAGCGGGCTGGAACCTGAGCTGGGGGGATGAGCCCCCCCACCCCACCCCGGGAACCAAGCCCGCCCTTTGCAAAGAGGTCGGGGAGGGCTGACCTGCCTGACGCTGCTTCTCGAACCCAGCTTTCTCCATCTCCCACCCCGGGCTCCTGGGGTGGGGTAGAGTTTGGGGGGGGGTCGTCTCCTCCACAGGACAGGGTTTCCCCACCTTTCCCATTTAAGAAAGGAAAAAAAGAGGAGGGGCGGAGTCAAGGGAAGAAGGGAGGGAGAGAAAGAGACAGAGAATCTTATCCCCTCTCTGCTGCGACCACGTCCTGCTCTGAAGAAGAGAGTCATTTTTTGCACACTTGGGGTGGTTTTCCACCTATGGAGGGCTGGCCACCTGAGCCTTGGCTTCAAGGCCATGTTTTCCATCTGTGTTGTCACAGCTCAGCCCTGTGGGGGGCCAACTGGGACCAGAAAGGTCAAGAGGCTTGCCCCAGGGCTCCTGGAAGTCTGTGGCAAAGTGGGGACTTGAACCCAGGGCCCTGGTCTCGTTGAGCCCACACGGCCACCCCTGTCTGAGTCTGGGTGACAGGCAGGGCGGAGGTGCCCCCTTGCATTTCTTTCCCACCTGTCCTCCTCACATCCCAGCTTTAACCAGCCTTCAGCTGCCCACCCCCAGCCCGGCCAAGCTTTGAGGGGCCTGGTGGGGTCACTGTGAACCCAGGGTCCCTGCCAGGTTAGAATTCTAAGGGCAGGCACATCCCACACGGCAGGGTCAGGCGCTAGACTGGCCGAGACCCGGGGCCAGCCCAAAGAGCCAGCCTCAGAACTTCAACATTTACCAGTCCAACTGTTGGGGACCCAGCTTAGTGAACAAAGACCTTTACCCCCATCTCGCCAGATGATTACCCAGCCAAGGGTAGTACCAGCGAGGCACCACGGGGGCAGGTCAAACCCAGCAAGACCCTACCCGCAGCCCAGTTTGAGATGGGTGAGGAAGGTAGCTTTCAATTCTCACCCAGCAGAGGGGAAAGTGAGGCACAGAGGAATGAAGGGCCTGTCTGAGGCTACCCAGCAGTTGGTCCAGTTCAGGGACCCTGATCAACCTCACCGCTGCAGGAGGGGCCTGCCAGGAAAGGAGGAAGGCCAACTGGTGCTTTCCTTTTCTGCCTGGATGCCGCTAAGTCCTCCCCCCCCCCCCCCCCACCCCCCCCCCCGGGTGAGACTGGGGCTGGGTCCTCGTCTCTACAACACAAACTCCCAGGGCCGCCTGGGGGCCGGGCAACCATCCCCCCGCCCCGCCCTGCCCCACGCTTCTGCTGCCCGCGCAGGCCAGCTGCCCAGAGTACACCTCCGTCCCCTCCCCCAGCCCCTCCGTGTCCCCCTCCCCCCCAGTGCTGCAGTTCACCTGCTGAACCTCAGCAGCCGTCTTCCCAGGGCTCTGAGAGAGCAGGAAAAACTGCCCCATCCGGGATGGAGTCACGCCTGAAAAGCAATCGAGGTCATTCCTGAGGGATCCAGCAGGTCACCCGCCCCGCCCCCCCCCCCGCCGGAACCTGGGAACCCCCTGGGATTGCACCCAGCAGGCAGAGCCTGTAGTGGGAAGAGGCAGGTTCAGCCGTACTGCCTTGACCAAACCCCTTCACCTCTCTGAGCCTGTTTCCTGTCTGTGAAATGGGAACACCAGCACCTTCCCCCTGGGGCAACCGTGAGGATTAAGAGATGAGGTCTGTCCCATGCTGAATGCATTCCATGCACACGAGCTGCTGTTTGTGTTATCATGTATATATCACCTGTTCCCAACCCGGCCCTGAGCTGTGGGCCCTGCCTGCAGGCGGTAGGAGCGTGGTCAGGGCTGCTGGGAGCCTCCCGCCCCCCAAGTTTACACCTGAGGCTGACCAAGCGCCCAGGTGGGGTGGAAAGGACACTGGGTTTAGCGTCAGGAGGCATCAAATGAGTCATTTCCCATCTCTGAGTCTCAGCTTCATCCATAAACTCTCTGGACCTGGGTGAGGAGGACGTCAGAGGTGCTGGTGACACCGAGCCCGTGCGGGGGACAGAGAGAGGTTTCTCAGAAGCCTGCAGGTCAGGAAGACCCGCAGCGTCACGGGTCAGCTGCTGCTGCTGGCCAGAGGGATACAAAGAGGGAGCATCAGGCAGGCCTACCGCGCCACCACAGTCCCTGCCCCCCTCCCGGAACAGGACACTTGGGCCTATAGACACCTGGCCACAGCCCATTGAACTACCCGGCCCCTTTGGCGTGGCCTCCTCTCAAACCTGCCCACTCAGAGGACCAGCCCGGCGGTCAGGGAGCATGAGGATGAGGGAGCCGTTGCTGCCCCGCTGAACCCCAGGAGACGGGGGACCCCCAGGCCTGGACCGGCAGCCAGGCCTACACTGACCGTTTGTTTTCATCCCCTCCCTGGCCCTCCCCCCAGGTCATTGGAGCTCTTGTTCGCCAGTGGCCAGAACAACAAGCTCCTGTACGGCGACCCCCCCAAGTCGCCACGCGCCACCCGCAAGTTCTCCTCACCCCCACCCCTGTCCATCACCAAGACATCATCCCCGAGCCGCCGGCGGAAGCTCTCCCTAAACATCCCCATCATCACAGGCGGCAAGGCCCTGGACCTGGCCGCCCTCAGCTGCAACTCCAACGGCTACACCAGCATGTACTCGGCCATGTCGCCCTTCAGCAAGGCCACGCTGGACACCAGCAAGCTGTACGTGTCCAGCAGCTTCGCCAGCAAGATTCCAGATGAGGGCGATATGAGCACTGAGAAGCCCGAAGAATCCTCCGCTCCCAGCAAACAGAGTGAGTGGATGTGAGGGCCAAGCCGCCCCTTGCTCACGGGCCCACTGAGCCGGCCCAGCCCCACCGGGAGGCTGGGGAGTCCTGGCCAGATGGTGGTGGCAGTGCAGAGCCTGGGTCGGGGAGGGGCAGGCAGAGATGCCCAGGAAGTGGGATGAGTGTCCCTCCCGCTGCCCTGATGACAGCTTCCTCTTGCATCCTTGTATCTGTCCGTCTCTGCAGTGGACGTGTCCTGGGCCAGGCCCCAGTCAGGGCCTAGGAGAGAAGAGGGCATCAGATGGGGCTCCTGCAGGCCGGGGTTCACGGTGTGGCTGAGGAACAGGACCAGACACGGAAACAGGGGCGCCTGACGCATGTGGTGTTAGAGGGGCGCTTGAGGGACCCCGAGCACGGAGTGGGGACGCCGTCGGGAGAGCCTGAGAAGGCTTCCTGGAGGACCTGTTAGATCTAGATTTGTCACCAGGAGGAAGGGAGAACATTCTAGACAAAGGGAATGGAGTGGGCAAGACTGAGAAGCAAGGAAAAGCGTTGTGTGTTCAGGCAACACCGGGAAACTCAGCACACCTGGAACACCGGGTGTGGGGCAGTGGCCGGAGGTGGTGCCGGGCAGGCTCGGCCCTCCCTGCTCTCAGAAGCCCACCCATTCTAGAATGGCATTTGCTGGGAGGCTTGTCTGACTGTGTCTTAGGCTGGGTCAGCCCACATCCTGGGTGACGCCAGCCTTGTCTTGGTTAGCACACATGTGCATACATACACACAGGCGTGTACACACACGAACACACAACCCTGGGCTGGATGGAAGCCCCAGCCTTCGAGGAGGAGGCCTTTGAAAAACATTTTAAGATGGTCGGAAGTTCTGTCCTCTGAGTTGAGAAGAGGGAAGTCAGCAGGACGACCAGCAGACGGCAAAGCCGGGGAGGGGTCAAGCCCCCAGGAGCTTCCGGTACCAAGTGACATTTACTGCGGCGCATACAGTAAATAGGGGACAGGCGCAGCCGAAAGTCAGTAACCAGTGTAACAGCCGACCAGAGAGCCCCAGATGCCGTCCCGCAGGAGCGGAGGACGGAGCCCCTGGCAGGGCAACGTCAAGGGGCCAGAACTCCATCTGCCACAGCCTGCAGTGAGTCCAGGCCTGATGCGTGACAAGATGTGATGCGAGACGGTCCTGAGAAGTCATCTCATCTCATCTCACACTTTTTTCTTTTTTTAAAAAATATTTATTTATTTTATTTATTGATTTTTTGGCTGCACTGAGTCTTCGTTGCTGCACTTGGGCTTTCTCCAGTTGCGGCGAGCAGGGGCTACTCTTCGTTGCGGTGCACGGGCTTCTCATTGTCATGGCTTCTCTTGTTGCGGAGCACAGGCTCTAGGCGTGCGGGCTTCAGTAGTTGTGGCACACGGGCTCAGTAGTTGTGGCTCGTGGGCTCTAGGGCACAGGCTCAGTAGTTGTGGCTTGCGGGCTCTAGAGCACAGACTCAGTAGTTGTGGTGCACAGGCTTAGTTGCTCCGCGGCATGTAGGATCTTCCCGGACCAGGGATCGAACCCGTGTCCCTTGCATTGGCAGGTGGATTTTTAACCACTGTGCCACCAGGGAAGCCCCTCGTACCGGGCTTCTTGACCAGTGATCCAGGTGACCCTGAACCTGTCTAACTGTGCACCAGAGTTTGTGTGTGTGTGTGTGTGTGTGTGTGTGTGTGTGTGCATGCACACATATGGACATTCTTTTCTAAAGAGGAGACCTATAGCTTTCTTTGGCTTCTCACAAAGGTCAGGTGTAACTCCACTTACTTTCTAGTTGGGGAAACTGAGGACCAGAGAGGTGAAGAGTTTTCGACCAAGATCTCACCACGCCAGAGCTGGACTTTTGATATAATTCATCTGCTTTCCCCGAAGTGTGAAAACCATGAGTCTCCGAAGATTCAGGGGGACTGTCCAAGCCAGGACACTTTTGATAGTGACCGGGTGCGTGGGACAAGAGGTATAAAGCAGGATTTTATATCCTGGACGGTCACCCTAACTAAGATGCTTCACACGGACACCAAAAAAGCGGGGCGTGGGGTAGTACCTTGCTACCCAAAGTGTGGTCCGTGGACCAGCCTCGCGGGCATCACCCCTCCCGGGCCCCACCCCAGACCTCTGAACCAGAATCTGTATTCTAACAAGATCCCCAGGTGTGCACATTAAGGTTTGAGGAGCCCTGGCAGAGCAAAAGCCACCTTGCAGATTGACAGGTCCATCAGCAAGTAAAAGGTCTGATGGGGCCCCGTGGCAAATGAAGATGTTAAACTGTCCTCAACAGGTATATGCCAAACCTACTCCGTTTGCCTCATTAGATTCTAGACCGGCATGTAAAAGTCATGGACGATTTGAGAAACATCAAATCGTTTCCTTCTTTTCTCCCAGGCTCAGAAGTCTCCATGAGGGAAGAGTCAGATAATGATCAAAACCAGAGTGACGAAGGTGACACTGAGACATCACCAACCAAATCGCCAACAACACCAAAATCGGTCAAAAGCAAAAATTCCTCAGGTATAATCCACCGACCCGAAACCACAGGTCAATTCCAGAGGACATGTACCATCCAGGTGGGGAGAAGGTGGCGGGTCAGGCTGAGGAAAGGCCAGTGGGGGTCACGCCTGCTGTTTTATAAGTGACTCCTAAGTGCAGGAACCCAGCTGCACTTCACGACCCCGGGGGGCTGCAACACTGGCTGGTAAATCCTGCTTTTCAACTCAGCAGAATCACTCCCCTGACCTCAGACAAGACTACCTAACCCACCCAACGCAGATGGGCAGGAAGGCCCAGCATTTGGCCTCATTCGTGGAAAGATCCAGGTTCAGAAGGTGTTTCCTGAGCTGCTGCTACATGTCAGGCTCTGGGCCAGACTCTTTAATAACATCCGACACCTTGCAGCGGGGCCGGGACATTCCTGTTTTTTCATCTAAGGGGAAAGTCTCCGAGAGGTTGTGGTGATGCCCACCCAAGTCTCAGACTCATGACCCTGGAGGGTTCTCGGGGAGCCGCTGGGTCTCTGGTTCCCGTTAAGCACTTCCCCACATACAGGGGGGCTCTGAGGTACCCAAAGGTGAGACATAAGCTTATGGAAGCCCCTGGTCCCACATACAAGGTGCAGCCTGAACCCCGAACTCCCCCAACCCCCCAGGCCCTCTGAGGAGACCCAGTAAGTCACAGGGTCACCCACCTGCAGAGAGAAACTACCCAGACACACTGCAGGCCTACCACAGCCCCTCAGGTACACGGAAGCAGATCTCACAGACAGCCAGATTCCAGAAATCAGCTTTGAGTTTTAAAGTCAGTCATTTGCGCCTCACTGCATAAGTGCTGTTACTTTCTCCTAAGGATGGATTGCTCTCCAGAGACTTACAAGCTGAAGCTTAAGGTTTCTGGAGTGAGATTCTGCTACTATTACTGCTAAAAAAATAATGATTATTATTAATTGCATTGATATTCCATGGCATATATATTGGGTCGGCCAAAAAATTCATTTGGGTTTTTCCATAAGATACAGCTTTTCACACAATACTAAGTACTTTCATCTGTGTTAACTCCTTTCATCTTTACATCCATCTTTTGAAGCAGGTGTTAATATCCCTATTATCCAGAGATTATTTTGACTCAGAGAGGTTAGGTAATTTACCCAAGGCCACACAGCTAGTACAGGGGGCGAAGACTCAGAGTGCGGTGCTCTTTCCACCCCACCGTGCCAGGGAGACCGTCAGTATGAGTTATCCATGTCAGACACTGGACAGGTTATGTGTTCATTCCAAATAGACTGAAAGGGAAGAAAACTCACAATGCTGTCCTCAAGCAGGGCTGTGCCCAGCTGGGCCTAAGAGGTAAAGGGTTTGGAGCTGCAGAGGGATGGAAGGGGTGGACGGTTGGTGGGACCTTCTCAACTCAGCAGGAGAAACAGAGGGGGGCAGGGGCTTTCCCTACTCTGAGGCAGCCCTGGGGTGACATGGCATGGCATGAGCGTGTCCCTTCCCGGGGACCCCAGCAGGGGAACAGACCCCGCTGCCACCGCCTGACAAGCCGTGGGTGCAGTGAGCACAGCCAGCCCGTCTTAGGCCCCTTCTAGCCTCAGGACCCCTGGTTTCCTGAGCCGAGGGCTGGACCAGGAAGAACTGACGAGTGGTTCCGTGCTCTCCACAGAGTTCCCACTCTTCTCTTATAACAATGGAGTTGTCATGACCTCCTGTCGCGAGCTGGACAGTAACCGCAGCGCCCTGTCAGCAGCCTCCGCCTTTGCTATAGCAACTGCAGGCGCCAATGAGGGCGCCCCAAACAAGGAGAAGTACCGGAGGATGTCCCTGGCTAGCGCAGGTACGGGGATCGCTCACGGCTGGTGACAACAGCGTGGCCCCAGGGGCTTGTCCTCCTTCGAATGTGGAGCGACTGCTGCCCCAGGCTTGTTGTGTGCCAAGCCTCCTGTCTGGAGGCCCCTTCCTCCCCACCCACCCCCTCTGCTACTCCAAACCTCTGCTCGGAGTCAAGCCCACTGCCCACGGGAAGCTCGGCCATCCCCACCGCCTCCCACTGCCACGACATTGGTCCTGCAGAGAAGGGGTCCCGGAGGGCTCTGATCCAGTGTGGCCCTGTCTGCAGAGGCTGCCAGACGCCTCCAGCCGCCCCTGAAAGGTGCCAAGGTCCGGGAGGGGCGGGTGTGTACGGACGGTGTCCACAGAGAAGTTGTGACATCCAGTCTCACTGGTCAGAACCTGGGATGGTTGTCGCATATTTTCTCATCCCCTGCCCATAGCCCACCCGCCAGCAGCCATGCGGGGCAGCCCGACTTCCCCAGATCTGGGGTCTGAGTCTGGACTAGAGGCCAGTTTTGTTTCTTATCCTCACGTCCCCACTCTTGCCTCTGCCACATGTGCCTCCAGGCTTTCCCCCCGACCAGAGGAACGGAGACAAGGAGTTTGTGATCCGCAGAGCGGCCACCAATCGCGTCCTGAATGTGCTCCGCCACTGGGTCTCCAAGCACTCTCAGGTGGGTGGGACTAACCCCGGGGCGGGCTGCTGGGAACCTGAGGCCACTGACCCCAGGAGCCAGCCACCCTGATGTTCTCGGGAGGCCCTGCTCAGATCCCCTACAGGGGGACCTAGGACATTCCAGGGGACGAGGGGCCTCTGCTCTCCACCTCTGTCTACAGCAGGGATACCTCCCAGAGCCTGGCCCAGGGGTGTAGCGGTCAAGATCAAGGGATGGTCCTTGATCTTGCCCAGTGCCTTCTACCTCTGGGTCTGGAGGTTCCACTGACGCCTGGCCAGGCAGCTAGGGAAGAGGGGGGTGAGGCGGCAACCTGCCGTGGGCAGGAGCCGAACCCTCAGCCTCCTCCTGTGGCCGGGCCGGGACCACCCCAGGGCAGCTGGAACAGTAGCCACAGCCACCCTCCCTTCTTCCCCCCAGGACTTTGAGACCAACGACGAGCTCAAATGCAAGGTGATCAGCTTCCTGGAGGAGGTCATGCACGACCCGGAGCTCCTGACCCAGGAGCGGAAGGCTGCAGCCAACATCATCAGGTAAGGGCTGAGGTCGGCCTGCTGGGATGGGGCCCTGCGCTCGGCCTCCGGACGGCTGGCCAGAGGCAGGGAGGCGAGGAGGGACAGTCCCAGGCCGAAGGACTGCCTCAGGCAGGTGTGCTGGGAGGATCTCGGGGCAGCCAGGCTCTCGAGTGGGCTATCCATGTGCAGTTCTCCCCTCTGCCTGCCCCCGTCAGGCCTTGAGCCCCTTGAGGCAAGAAGGGTGTCTGCTTCTCCATCCACACCCACTGCGAACACCTGTCTAGCCCATTGCCGTCCTGCGTGGTAGCCACTAGCGACATATAGGTGTGAAATCTCAATTAATTAAAATTAAATAAAATTTAACATTCAGTTCTGGGACTTTCTGGCGGTCCAGTGGTTAGGACTCCAAACTTTCACTGCAGGGGACTTGGGTTCCAACCCTTGTCAGGGAAGATCCCACATGCCACCCAGACCAAAAAAAAAAAGAATATCATTAAAAAAAAATAAATTAATAAAATTCAGCTCCTTGGTCACACGAGCCACAGGTGGCTGGTACCTCCGTACTGGGCAGCATAAAGAACATTCCCATCGTTGAGGAGGGTTCTGTTGAACAGCACCGGCAAGCCCCTGTTTCTAGGTGCTCAGGGAATGTCTGTTGAATTGAGTTAAATTGTCCCCAAACCTGTCCTTTTTCCTCCTGCCCCAGACTGCCTCTCCTGACGGAGGTCAGGGGTCAGGTGGCCCCACGTCCAAGCCCTGCTGGCTCAGACAGTGACTCGCTGTGTGACCTTGGCCAAGCCCCTTCTCTGAACCTCGTTTTTCTCCTCTGTAAAATGGGCAAACAGGGCTTCCCTGGTGGCGCAGTGGTTGAGAGTCCACCTGCCGATGCAGGGGACACGGGTTCGTGCCCCGGTCCGGGAAGATCCCACATGCCGGGGAGCAGCTGGGCCCGTGAGCCATGGCCGCTGAGCCTGCGCGTCCGGAGCCTGTTGCTCCGCAACAGGAGAGGCCACAGCAATGAGAGGCCCGCATACCGCAGAAAAAAAAAATAAAATGGACGAACAACACCCACTTCCAGGGCTGTGGTGAGGCTGTGGTGAGGTCATGCTGATGCCTCTGCAGGTCTTTCAGGGGTGTCGGGCGCAGGCCCCAGTCCACCCTCCGCTCCCATCCTGCTGACTCAGGCTGCCCTCTGGCCCTGTCCAGGTGCATGGGCTCTCGGTCAGGCCTCACCTCCCCACCTCTTGCCTGGCTCCGGCTGCCCCTCTCTGTCCTGCCGTCACGGTCTCTGACCCAGACTTGCAGCCACTTTCCTGCCGACAACCCAGTCTGCAGTCTTCCTCCAGCCAGACCATCCGCTTTGCTTTCCCAAGGCCCGTGCTGCAGGCCCCGTCGTTCCTGCAGGCTCAGCGTCCTAGAATCTCTTCCACACCTCCCTGCCTTCAGTACCTGCCCCCTAGACACACACGCACACACACGTATGCATACGCGCACACACACATGCACAGAGTCAGCCACCAGGTCCCCCAGGCACCTCTTCCTGGTTCCCGGGAGGCTTGCAGGGCTGTGCCAGGACCCTGAGCCTATCGGCCAAAGTCCCCCTCGGTCAGAAAGCTTGTGTGGGATGCTGCCGGGGTGCAGGGGAACGAGCCGGCTGTGCTGTTGGGCAGCCCTGGTGTGGACGGTGGACCCACCGAGCCCCAGCTGCGGGTCTGCAGGTGAGATTCCTCTGAGCCACTGCTTCCTCGGAGGGAGAGCGCCAGTGACTCAACCAGGCCCCGCAGCCTCCTGAGCGTCCCCCCAGCCCCAGCTTGGCTCTCAGGCCCATCCCTGGGATTCACGATTGCTGTCGGAACGAGGGCGCAGCACTTTGACCTGACTCCGAGGGTCCACCCTCATTCCCCACCACTGCTTGGGACCCACTCGACTGTACTCAGCAGCCCATCAGCGGCGTCCCACCTCCGGGCCTTTGGCCCCCACACTGCTGTCTCCCACCATCCTCCGTCTCTCCCGTTTGGGCGGCTTCCCAGCCCCTCCTGGCCTCTCTGATCCTCCAGTCCTGAAGCTCCTTCCCCTCCTTCCCCCCATCATCCCACAGGCACGCAGGAGCACGGACCACATGCCCAGCCCCGTGCCGGGTACCAGAGCTACAGGGACAAATCGGACATCACTCTGCCCTCAGGGGCTCCTGGCGGGTCTAGAGGTGGCGGTGGGGGGGGCGGGGGACAGGCACATACACAGCCGTTTCAACATGGGGAGCCTGAGGCTGAGACCACAGGAAGTCCCGGGGCTGAGGGAGCCCTAGGTGGGGACCTTGCCCAGCCAGGGAGCTGAATCCTGAAGACAGCCCATCAGAAAGTCAGTGACGGGCTTCCCTGGTGGCGCAGTGGTTGGGGGTCCGCCTGCCGATGCGGGGGTGTGGGTTTGTGCCCCCGTCCGGGAGGATCCTGCATGCCGCGGAGCGGCTGGGCCCGTGAGCCATGGCCGCTGAGCCTGCGCGTCTGGAGCCTGTGCTCCACGACGGGAGAGGCCACAACAGTGAGAGGCCCGCGTACTGCAAAAAAAAAAAAAGAAGAAGTCAGTGACAAGAAAGGGGAAAGGGGGCTCCTGGCGCACGAAATGGCAGAGCACAGACAGAGAGATGGGGGGCGCCGAGACCGTGGGGCCTTGCGCGATAGGGTAGGGGTGGTGCTGCCCCAAAGGCTGGGGGGACTGAGCACATGGGGCTCATTGTGCTTTCTCGTCCCATAGGACTCTGACCCAGGATGACCCGGGGGACAGCCAGATCACGCTGGAGGAGCTCACACAGACGGTGAGCCAGGCCTGCCCCCTTGCTCGCTGGCCAAGTCTGTCCTTCCCTGGCCTTCCGGCTCCCGGGATCCCCACCCAACAACCCCTTGATGGAGTTCAGTCACCCCCTGTATTGGTTTCCTAGAGCTGCCCTAACAAATACCCCAGACTGGTGACTTAAAATAACAGAATTTTATTCTCTCATAGTGCTGGAGGCCCGAAGTCTGAAATTAAGGTGTCGCTGGGGCCGTGCTCCATCCAAAGGTTCTAGGGAAGGACCCTTCTGGGCCTCTTCCGGCGTCTGGTAGCCCTGGTCATTGCTTGGCTTGTGGCAGTGAATCTCCCATCTCTGTCTCCATAATCACATGACCATCTTCTCCCTGGGTGTCCCTGCATCCTCTTCCCTCCGTGTATGTCTGTCCCTGTGTCCAAACTTCCCCGTCTTATAAAGACACCAGTCATACTGGATTAGGCCCACTCTTAATGACCTCATCTTACCTGAGCACATCTATAAAGACCTTATTTCCGAATAAGGTCACAGTCACAGGTACCAGGGTTTAGGACTTCAGCATATCTTTTTTTGGGTGGTGGGGAATTCAACCCATAACACCACCACCTCCATTTTCTTCATCCTCTGTCTCCCATCCCTCCCCTGACCCCTCAACTCTCTCTGGTCGCATTGTCCCTGGAAGGAGGAGGGTAGGAAGTCAAGCCTTCAGTGTATGAGCTGCCCCTCTGCGCTGGAGCTGTGCTACTGCCTTAAACACGCTTATCAATAGTGCTGCAAGTTTATATCATCATCCCCACCTTCCGGAGGAGGCAGCTGAGGCAGGGGTAGGGGGAGCGACCCAGCCCAGGTTATGCTAAGTGACGGAGCTGGTGTTCGCACTCAGAACTCACTGCACATGCCACACTGCCTCACCTGGAGGGGACAGGATGCAGTTGGCCACCTGCCTAGAAATGACCCTGGGCAGAGCTCACAGTAGCGTTCCATGTGGTGGAAGGGGACGATGGTCTGTGGGCTTCCAGGGCCTGGCTGGGCCCACTTTTATTTCCAGGTTGATGACGTGCCACCACGAGCCGCCCCAGAGCCCCAGGCCCCTGCCATCCACCACTGCAGCCAACGAAGCTCAAAGCCAACTCCGACCTCCCCGGAGGTGGAGCCCGTGCGGGCCCCTCGGCCCCCGCTGGCTTGCTTCTCAAGCTGGACGAGTGACGTCCATTCTGTCCCAAGTAGCCAGCGTGAGGACTTGGGCCTCTGGGTTCTGAGCCCGCTGCTCCCCTCTTGTCCCCTCTCCTGACTCCTGGAGCTCGTTCTCCCTGCTCGGGGTCGGGTGAGGCCATCCATGGAACACTGGCACCCTGCCTGCCCCTGGCCCCTGAGAGCAGCACTGCAGGACTGGCACCCCAGGAAGCCACATGTGCCCCCCGCAGGGAAGCTCAGGGGAGCAGCTACACTCTGCTCTTGTTTCCCAGTAGGGGCCCGACTGGAATGTTTGCCCCTCAAGAGCCTGAGGGCCTCTTGTTCCTTCATGAAGAGCTGAGGCTCTTCCAGAACAAAGCACTGCCCGCCGAACAGCCCCCGGCCCTGACCTGGTTCGCAGAGGCCAGAGGGCCTGCAAGGGGCACGTCCAGTGTGGAGGAGGCCCCACGGCCTCACCAGAGAGCAGAGGGCTTCCTGCTGTGACGGCTTTCCAAGCCTCTGCTGCCAGGCTCAGCCCTCACCTGGCCACGCCAGGAGGAAGCAGGGGGAGCCGCCCCTCCTCCTTGCCCAGCGCTCCTCCTCTGTGCCTCTCCACAGCGCTCAGTGCCCCCGGCCACTGGGCCACCCCACCCTGGCTCGCAGGCCACTCCCCAGGCCCAGCCTGGCCCTTGGTCCTGACAGTTCAGCCATCCTGGGCCTTCAGGAGCGGGCTGAGCTCCCCGCCTGCCGCCCCTGCTTCAGAGGCTGGGGGCTCCTCCCCATGAGCCTCCTGACCCCCAACACGGTGTCCCAGGAGGCACCTGCTGCTCTCGTCCCCACGTCCCCGCTGCCTTCCTGAGAACTTGTCCTCCCCTGTTGGCATCGTGTCCCTCACACCCGGGCTCCTGCATCTGGGCTTCTGCACAGAGCATTCCTGGCCCAGGGTGACTGTGTCGGGGGATGCATGGACCCTCACCACACACACACACATGCACACACACCACACACACACACCACACACACCACACACCACCACACACCACCACACACACACCACACACCACCACACACACACCACACACACACACACCACACACACACCACACACACCACACACACACACCACACACACAC